TAGTAGAGACGGTGTTTCACCATGTTGGCTAGGCTGATCTTGATCTCCTGACCTCGTGATCCGCCCGTCTCGGCCTCCCAAAGTTCTGGGATCACAGGCTTGAGTCACTGCACCCGGCTGTTACTCTTTTTTTTTTTTGCAACCTCTGCCTCCCAGGTTCAAGGGATTTCTGGCTAATTTTTGTATTTTTAGTAAGACAGGTTTTCATCATGTTGGCCAGGCTGGTCTCGAACTCCTGACCTCAGGCAATCCGCCCACCTCGGCCTCCCAAAGTTCTGGGATCACAGGCTTGAGCCACTGCTCCTGGCCTTGATCATATTTTTCTTTGTAATTTTATAATTACTGAGGTTAGGTTTTTTGTTATTTCATATTTGTTTTGTGAATGGCTTGCTTTATGGGTTTTTTTCTATTTCATTTGAGAGGTATTTGAATTTTCCTTATTAGTTGTTGGAGTGTTTTGCATAAAATATACTTCTTTTTATATGTATTACAACTGTTTTCCCCATGTTGCCACTTCCCTTTTAATTTTTGTTTGCACCGTCTTTTGATTAGAGAAGTTTTGCATTTTTACATAGTCAAATCTCTCAGTCTTTTTCGTTTTGGTTTATGCTGATATGCTTAGAAAGACCTCTCTCACAAGAGTGTGTAAAATAATTACTTACACTTTTTTCTTCTTTCTTTATGATGTTTAACTCTTTAATCCACTTGGAATTTTTTTTCTTTTTTTAGGGCATAAGTTGTAAGGCAAAACTTTTTTTTTTTTTTCCAAATAGTTGAATGATATACCTTATTTACATTGATTAGAATTGCTCCCAAGTAATACTGATTAATTTTAATGAACATAGAATTTGTGGGGGTTTTTTTTTTTTTTTTTTTTTTTTGAGACAGGGTCTTGCTCTGTCACCCAGGCTTCAGTGCACTGGCACAATCATGGCTCACCGCAGTCTTGATGTCCCAGGCCCAAATGGTCCTCCCACCTCAGCCTCGTAAGTAGCTGGGACTACAGGTGTGCACCAGCATGCCCAGCTAATTTTTTAATTTTTTTGTAGAGACACGGTCTCCCTTGGTTGCCCAGGCTATAATTTGTATCTTAATGTCTTAATTATAACAGCATTTCATTGCATTCATATGAAGCTTTCTACAAAAAAAAAAAAAAAAAAAAAAAAAGTCCTTTTTTTTTTTTAAATAATTTTTTTTTTTTTTTTTTGAGACAGAGTATCATACTGTCAGGCAGGCTGGAGCACAGTGGCACGATCTTGGCTCACTGCAACCTCCATACCCTGGGCTCAAGCAATTCTCCTGCCTCAGCCTCCCAAGTAGCTGGGATGTGCCACCACACCTGGCTGAGTTTTGTATTTTTAGTAGAGACAGGGTTTCACCATGTTGACCAGACTGCTCTCTGTGAACTCCTGACCTCAGGTAATCCACCCGCCTCGGCCTCCCAAAGTGCTGGGATTACAGGCGTGAGCCACTGCGCCGGGCCTATTTAAATAATTTCCGAAGAAGTTTTAAATACTAGTAGAGTCCTAAAGTTACTTGAAGCTATTAGATAACAACTTTCAGTTATAATTAATTAAGACTACATTCTCAGCTTGTAGTTTATTAGGATTTATACTTCTTTTTTGATACAGGAAATTTATTTGCTCCTTCATCCCTGATGAACAGTCTTGGAGAAGTTGTATTTGGTTACATGGTTTGGTTATGTTGACTTTGTGAATTTGTTACTCAGAGTGCTTAATTATAGGTTGCTGAAGTATTTCCTCTACCTGAATCTGATATCCCCAAATGAGACCCTTGGGCCTGATGGAATTTGTATCTTTTATTTATTGCTAGGATAAATATAACTATAATTTATTTTGCATTTATTATATATTGTAAATGCATAAGGACTTTGCAAGCATTTATTTAATCCTTTGATAACTCTGGGAGATAGACATTACTTATTAAATCTCCGTTTTATAGATAAGGAAGCTGATGCTTAGAGAGGTTAAGTAATAACTGGTTAAGTTGGATTTTGAATCCTAGTTTCTCTGATTCCAGAGTTTGGACTCTTAACCACCATAATCGTTTGCCTGAATATATTTACTTGTTTTGGGTAATCATTTTTTTAGGATATGGGAGAGAAAGTCTTTAAAACATTTTTCCCTCTTTTTACTGAGGTATACTGAAAGCTATTCTGATGATGATTCAAGTATGGAAGACTACCCAGATCCACAGGTAAGCCAAACATTTAGTGGGTCCACTTTGATTTTTTCTTTTTTAGTCGTTATGATACCTCCTTTGAAAAACTCAGTAAGAGCTGGGCATGGTGACTCACACCTCTAATCCCAGCACTTTGGGAGGCTGAGGCATGCAGATCACTTGAACCCAGGAGTTTGATACCATCCTGGCCTACATGGCAAAACCCTGTCTCTATAAAAAGTACCAAAAAATAAGCCTGGCCAACATGGTGAAACCTTGTCTCCATAAAAAATACAAAAATTTGCCGGGCATGGTGGCATGCACCTGTGATCCCAGCTACCTGGAGGGGCTGAAATGGGAGAATCACTTGAGCCCAGGAGGTTGAGGCTGCAGTGAGCTGCAGTGAGCTGTGATTGTGCCACTTTACTCCAGCCTGGGTGACAGAGTGAGGCCCTGTCTTTTAAAAGGTTAGCTGTCGTGGCTCACACCTGTAATCCTAGCACTTTGAAAGGCCAAGGAGGGTGGATCACTTGAGCTGAGGAGTTTGAGACCAGCCATGGCAGAACCCCATCTCTCCCAAAAAAAACTCCCGAAATTAGCCAGGTGTAATGCGTTCAGTCCCAGCTCCTCAGGAAGCTGAGGTGGGAGGATCAGTTAAGCCCAGGAGGTGTTATGCCCAGACTGTTTGTTCCCCAAAGAAGACCACCAGAGTCCAGAGTCAAAGCCAAGCGGCAAGGATCTTTACTACAAGTTCGAACTTGGTCCCTCCTTTACACAGTATACAAGAGGGCCCTGAACAATGCGAGCGTTTGCTTTTTATAGCCCGAAAGTTGCAGGGGAACAAAGAAATTCTTTTGGCTCCTGCGCTTTCAGTAACCTTGAACGGCTGTCCCCTTATCGGAGACTTTCCAGGTGGTGTTTATACTGGGCTCAGGGAGTTTGAGAGATATATGGTGGTGGGATGGGAGGATGGGATGTGTTTGTGCTAGGCTCAGGGAGTTTTGAGCCCGGGGCTGAGGAATGTGCCCAGCTCCTTTCAGAGGCAGAGGTTGCAGTGAGCTGGGATTGCACCACTGCACTCCAGCCTGAGCAACAAAACCAGATCCTGTCTCAAAAAAAAAAAAATTAGTAAGAAATAGAATAAAAGGCCAGGTGCTGTGGCTCACATCTGTAATCCCAGCACTTTGGGAGGCTGAGGCAGGAAAATCACTTGAAACCAGGGGTTCAAGACCAGCTTGGGCAACACAGCAAGACTCTGTCTCTACAAAATACAAACAAAAATTAGCTGGGTCTGGTGGCATACACCCATAGTCCCAGCTACTCAGGAGGCTGATGCTGGAGGATCGCTTGAGCCCAGGAGTTTGAGGCTACAGTGAGCTATGATTGTGCCATTCTACTTCAGCCTGGGTGACAGACCTTATGGCAAAAGAGAGAGAGAGAGAAGAGAAGGGAAGAAAGAGGGAGAGAAAGAAAAGGATTAGGGCTAAAGGGAAGGAGAGAGGAAGGACAGGGAATAGAATAAGAGACTTTAGACATCTTCATCAATAAATAATTGAACACTTTCTGTGTTCAATATTGGTGATGGATTAACCATCCTTCCAGTATTTGTGTTATAAGTCAGTTATACAAGGAAAAAGAAGGGAAGAGGATAGCTAGAAATAAGGGCAGACAAGAATAGAGTAATTAATAGTAAAAATGGAAAAAGGGATATACTTTTTGTCAAGGAGATGGCATTACTAATGAAGAGGCTTGATTAAAGGAGAATATGGAGATAATATAGTCAGCCCTCACCCTCCATGGGGGATTGGCCCTAGGGCCCCACATGAATACCTGCAAATGTTCAGGTCCCTTATGTAAAATGGCATCATGTTTGCATATAACCTTATATACATCCTCTTGTTTACTTTAAATTATCTCTGGATTACTTATAATGCCTAATGCAATGTAAATAAGATGTAAATAGTTTTTCCACTATTTCTTTCTTTTTTTTTTTTTTTTGAAAGGGAGTCTCACTCTGTTGCCCAAGCTGGAGTGCAGTGGTGCAATCTCAGCTCACTGCAACCTCTGCCTCCCAGGCTCAAGCAATTCTCCTGACTCAGCCTCCTGAGTAGCTGGGATTACAGGCAGGGTCTCTGTCGCCCAAACTGGAGTGGAGTGGCGTCATCTTGGCTCACTGCACTCTCTGCCTCCCAAGTTCAAGTGATTCTCATGCCTCAGCCTCCTGAGTAGCTGGGATTACAGGCATGCACCACCACACCTAGCTAATTTTTGGTGTTTTTAGTAGAGATGGGGTTTCACCATGTTGACCAGGCTGGTCTTGAACTCCTGGCCTTGAGTGATCCACCCACCTTGTCCTCCCAAAGTGCTGGGATTACAAACGTGAGCCACCATGCCCAGCCTACACTGTATTTCTTAATATTTGTATTATTTTTACTGGTGTATTTTTTTATTGCTTTTTATTTCCCAAATATTTTCGATTGAGGTTCATTGAATCCCTGGATGCAGAACCCTTGGATATAGAGGGCCAACTGTTTGTCAAATTATTTATAATTTGCTTTTTATTTTTTCCCTTGGTATATCAGTTTTGAATTTATTATCAAAATATTTGATCCAATTTTTGTGGGGACAGGGTCTCGCTCTGTCACCCAGGCTGGAGTACAGTGGCATGGTCCTAGCTCACTGCAACCTCAAACTCTTGGACTCAAGTTGTCCTCCTACCTCAGCCTCCCAAGTAGCTAGGATAACAGACATGTGCCACCATGTCTGGGTAAATTTTAAATTTTTTGTAGAGACAGGGTCTCGCTATGTTGCCCAGGATAGTCTCGAACTCCAGGCCTCAAGCAGTTTTCCCAGTTTGGCCTCCCAAAGTGTTGGGATTACAGGGCATGAGCCACCACGCCCAGCCCCAATTTTGATTTAATGTAATAATAGTGACTCTCAATGGCAACCAGCTCATTTTCATACTTCTCTAGTGTATTTTTTTTAGAAGCAACCATGCTTACTTATTTTATTTAACCACCAATTATGAATTGGTTTTCCATTGGAATGAAGTCTTTTTGAATAGTAAATGCTTGTTTGCAAGTCATCTTACTGAGGTGGAGTCTCACTCTGTCACCCAGGCTGGAGTGCAGTGGCGCAATCTCGGCTCACCGCAACTTCTGCCTGCCAGGTTCAAGTGATTCTCCTGCCTTAGCCTCCCAAGTAGCTGGGATTACAGGTGCCTGCCACTGCGCCCAGCTAATTTTTGTATTTCTAGTAGAGACGGTGTTTCACCATGTTGGCTAGGCTGATCTTGAACTCCTGACCTCAAGTGATCTGCCCACCTCGGCCTCCCAAAGTGCTGGGATTACAGGCATGAGCCACTGTGCCCAGCCTAACACCTATATATTCTGATTATAAATGTTCTGAGAGAAGTTGTTAAAAAAATAAAGAAAACATTACTATAGGCAGTACAACTTTTATGAGTACCTGTTGAGTAATTTATGCTAAACTTTTGTTTTATGTTTCTGCCAGTCAGCAAATCACATGAACAGTTCCCTGTTGTCTTTGTATCGAAAAGGAAATCCTGATTCTGTTTCAAATACTCCTGAGATGGAGCAAAGAGAAACCACCTCTTCAACACCACAGATAAGTTCCAAAACAGGCCCCGTTCCCTTGAAGACCCCTGCCAAAGATTCTGAGGGAGGATGGTTTATTGACAAAACCCCAAGTGGAAAGAAGGACAGTTTTTTCTTGGACCTATCAGATGAGAAAAGTGATCCTAAGAAGTCAATAACTGAGATACAGGTATTTTTGTAATGAAATTTTAGCCCCATATCATCGAAGTACATTTTGACCTTTTAATTGAATACAGTATCGAGCAGATACTTGTGCTTTGTGGAAAACATAAGAACTTTGAAATATATGGAGAATTTGATCACATCACACTACTTGCCATTCTTTCTATCCTAGTCTAAGCCTTTTCTTGTTCTTGACTTAATTATTGAAACAGCCTTCCAGCTGGAGTCTGTGTCCTTTCTTGTTCCCCTAGTTTATTCTTCACACTGAGATAGCTTTTTTTTTTTTGAGACTGGATCTGGCTCTGTCACCAAGACTGGAGTGCAGTGATGTGATCTTGGCTTACTGTAACCTCTGCCTTCTGGGCTCAAGCCGTCCGCGACCTCAGCCTCCTATGTAACTAGGACTACCGGCGTGCGCCACCACACCTAGCTCACTTTTATATCTTTTCTAGAGATGGAGTTTTGCTGTGTTGCCCAGGCTGGTCTTGAACTCTTGGGGTCAAGTGATCCACCCGCCTCAGACTCCCAAAGTTCTGGGATTATAGGCATGAGCCATCACATATTATCATTCTTTATTTAAAACCCTCCAGTGGCTTCATTCAGTCTCAAATCCAAAGGCCTGTGACAGCCACTAAAGTCTTTCATGATTTGGCTGCCTGGCTTTCTCTTCAGTTTCGTCTCCTACCACCCTGTTAGGTATGTGAATCTATTTCCTCAGCTGTAAATTTTACAAACTCTGAGTACAAATCAAGTGTTTCCCGTGAAAATTTAGTGTCCAAATTGAGATGTGCTATTAACTTAAAGTGTACATTAGACTTTGAAGACTTACTAAAAAATATAGAATGTAAAACATCTCATTAATAATTTTTTATATTGACTGTTGAGATGATAATATTTTGGATATACTGGGTTAAGTAAAATAGATTATTAAATGAATTTCATATGTGGCTCACATATTCCTCATGGACAATGATGCTTCAACTGGTTTCTAAGAACCAAGCCCTTTGATTTGGCAGAACCTTTCCCCTTTTGATTTATTAATAGGCCTGTCCAAATCTCTTTGCTTTAATTTATCTGTGTCATCCATCTATAGAGAACATTGTTGTGGTGGGCAAGAACTCGAGTCTTAATGCTGAATTACTTTTTTTGGTTTGAGACGTGGTCTGCCTTGTCACCCAGGCTGACATGGTACAGTGGCATGATCACAAATCACTGTAACCTCCACCTCCTGGGCATAAGCCATCCTCCCACCTCAGCCTTCCAAGTAGCTGGGACTACAGGTGCCCACCACCACACCTGGCTAAGTTTTGTATTTTTTGTAGAGATGGGGTTTGGCCATGTTGCTCAGGCTGGTCTTGAACTTCTGAGCTCAAGTGATCTACCCACCTCAGCCTGAATTATACTTTAAAAAAAATTTTTTTGGCTGGGCGTGGTGGCTCACACCTGTAATCCCAGCACTTTGGAAAGCCGAGGCGGGCGGATCACAAGGTCAGGAGATTGAGACTATCCTGGCTAACATGGCGAAACCCCCATCTCTACTAAAAATACAAAAAGTATTAGGAGGCTGAGGCAGGAGAATGGCGTAAACCCGAGAGGCGGAGCTTGCAGTGAGCTGAGTTCGTGCCACTGCACTCCAGCCTGGGCAACAGAACAAGACCCCGTCTCAAAAAAAAAAAAAATTTTTTTTAAGAGTTGGAGTATTGCTGCATTGCCCAGGCTGGAGTGCAGTCACTTTTCGCAGGCATGATCACAGAACATTATAGCCTCGAAACCCTGAACTCAAGTGGTCCTTCTGCCTCTGAAGTAGCTGGGGCTATAGGTGTGTCCCAGTGTGCTTGGCTGAATTTGTTATGACTGTCAAAGCAGCTGTATAGTCATATTTAATTTAGTGAATCATCAGCTGTCAGATGAAGACAACTATGTAGAAGACTCAGTGAGAAATAAAAGGCAAATATCAGTGTCCTTAATCAAGGAGCTCACAATTCAGAGAGAGAGAGACAGAGATAAGTAAATCACTCATACAAGGCAGATTATGCTAACTGATAATAGTTGCAAATGCAGTGTCCTGGGAATGTGAAGACGAGGTTAAATGTAACTGAAAGAGGGCCTTGCAGTGTGTCTCACGCCTATAATCCCAGCACTTTGGGAGGCTGAGATGGGCAGATCACCTGAGGTCAGGAGTTCGATACCAGCCTGGCCAACATGGCGAAACCCCATCTCTACTAATAATATAAAAATTAACTGGGCGTGGTGGTGGGCATTTGTAGTCCCAGCTACTTTTGGGAGGCTGAGGCAGGAGAAACGTTTGAATCTAGGAGGCAGAGGTTGCAGTGAGCTGAGATCACGCCGTTGCACTCCAGCCTGGGTGACAAGAGCGAAACTCTGTCTCAAAAAACAAAACAAAACAAAAACCTCTAACTGAAAAAATCTGGAAAAGAAGTGGCGTTCAAATGTTAAGATTTCTTTTTTCTTTTTTTTCCCCCATATGGAATGCTTCACAAATTTCCATGTCATCCTTGCACAGGGACCATGCTAATCTTCTTTGTATCATTCCAATTTTAGTGTATGTGCTGCCAAGGCCAGCACCAAATGTTAAGATTTAAATTGAGCTTTAAGGGCATGAGGAGAAGGACATTACCAATAGACAGCATCTTTGAGCAAAGAGATTGGGAATAGTCAACAGAGGTGAAAGTGCTAGGGCAGGAATTAATTTTCTTTACAATGCCCCTCTTTAAAAAATAAAACAATTATTGGCATAGAATTTGAAGCATGGCATATTTAAATTTATTTTCTTTTCAGGGTTCAAAAGATTCTTCTCTTTTGGAGAGTGATATGAAACGGAAAGGCAGGCTAAAGAATAAAGGAAGCAAAAGGAAGAAAGAAGATCTTCAGGAAGTAGATGGAGAAATTGAAGCTGTCCTGCAAAAGAAAGGTAAGGTGTGAGTCTTGTTGGTGGCAGTGGTCGTGTTTGCTGTGAGAGAAACATCATTCTGTTCCAAGCTGTTTTGCTTGAGGGACCTTCTATGTGCAGAAATGTTTATCAGAAAATGTTTCTATATTTAATGGACCTTTGTTTACTTAAAGACTATTCATTACAATTATGAGTTACTACTGAACCATTAATCTTTTCATCTCCTCATTTTTGTTTACCAGCTAAAGCCAGGGGGTTAGAATTCCAGATCTCCAATGTGAAGTTTGAAGATGTGGGAGGCAATGATATGACGTTAAAAGTTAGTGGAAATTTCTAAATTTTACCTCAAATGGATATATTACTAATCAGTTATGAAAGAAAAGCCTACCTCTTTGTTTCTAATATGATCTGAGTATAGAAAAGGAAACTGGGAAGGTTGAGAAGGGCAAACCTGACCTGTACCCTTTAGGGCGTTGCAGGAGAAAAGATGCATACTATTTTGAACTTTTCTATTATTTTGATTATAGTATATATATATATAAAGATCCATGTTTTTTAAAGATCCATGCTTTATAAGTAATATTGTCTTAATAGTACTAATAGTAATGGTAACTGTATTTAATTTTTATTTTATTTTTTTGTTTTTGTTTTTTTTTTTGCTTTGTTTTGTTTTGTTTTTGAGAAGGAGTGTAGCTCTGTCACCAGGCTGGAGTGCAGTGGCGTGATCTCAGCTCACTGCAACCTCCGCCTTCCAGGTTCAAGCATTTCTCTTGCCTCAGCCTCCTGAGTAGCTGGGATTACAGGCACGTGCCGCCATGCCCAGCTAATTTTTGTATTTTTAGTAGAGACAGGGCTTCACCATGTTGGCCAGGATGGTGTCGATCTCCTGACTTCGTGATCTGCCCACCTTGGCCTCCCAAAGTGCTGGGATTACAGGCAGGAGCCACCACTCCCTGCCGTAATGGTAACTTTATTTTTAATGCCTATTCTTTTTCATTGGCCATGCTCTTTAACTTTGCATTACATCCTCAAGGTACATAATGTTACAGTTTAGGAAATAGCTCCTCAGAGAGGTTATTGCTGAAATCACACAGTAGGTACCAGAGCCAGGATTCAAACTCTGATCTAAATCTAAATTGTATATTCTACCTATCTGTTCCATTTTGCTGCTCCAAAAAATAGGACATTTCATTCTACTTTGATTCTTCTGTCTTGAAAGACGTCTTTGTGCTTATCCTCTGCTAGGAGGTCTGCAAGATGCTCATACACATGCGTCACCCGGAGGTGTACCACCACCTGGGCGTCGTGCCCCCTCGTGGAGTTCTCCTTCATGGGCCACCAGGCTGTGGGAAGACTTTACTTGCACATGCAATTGCTGGGGTGAGGCTTGCTGACACTTGTTTGCTTTTGCTGTTTTTGTTGTTATTATTTGTTTTTGTTTTTTCTCTTTGGTCAACGTAAACTAGACATGGCATTCTTCAGGAAGAGAACGTAGTTACTGGAACTGATCCCTTTGTTATCATGCTGATATTATTTGTGGTATTTATTCATTTAGTTTATTGTTTCGCAGAGCAACTTGAGGGTTTTTTTTTTTTTTTTTTTAATGTATGTAATTGTTTATATGGCAAGAGTTAGGTAGAAAGTAAAATAATACAGTTCTTTTTTTTTTTTTGGAGACGGACTCTCACTCTGTTGCCCAGGCTGGAATGCAGTGGCGTGATCTTGGCTCACTGCAACCTCCGCCTCCCAGGTTCAAGCAATTCTCCTGTCTCAGCCTCCCCAGTAGCTGGGATTACAGGCACACACCGCCACGCCCGGCTAATTTATTACATTTTACTAGAGACAGGGTTTCACCCTGTTGCCCAGGCTGGTCTCGAACTCCTGAGCTCAGGCAATCCGCTCATCTCAGCCTCCCAAAGTGCTAGGGTTACAGGTGTGAGCCACTGCGCCCAGCCATAATAATACAGTTTTAAACAAACCTTTTTATTAACACATAGCTTACATTTTAGTTACTTTGCTTTCCCTTTAACCCAATACTTACATTATTTTACTTATTTTTTTGAGACAGAGTTTCACTGTCACCCAGGCTGGAGTGCAGTGGTGCAGTCGTGACTCACTACAGCCTCAACCTCCCAGGCTCAAGTTGTCCTCCCACCTCAGCCTCCCAAGTAACTGGAACCACAGACACACACCACCACGCCCAGCTAATGTTTTTGTTTTTTTTATAGAGACGGAATCCCACTATGTTGCCCAGGCTGGTCTTAAACTCCTGGCCTCAAGCAGTCCTCCTGACTCAGTCTTCCAAAGTGCTGGGATTACAGGCATGGGCCACAGCACCTGCCCTCCCAGTGGTTCTTAGGAGCAGTAAAATAAGAAAATTAGGGTTATATTATTTTTCATAGAGCTAAATTTATTCAAAATTTCTATTTAGAGTCATGTTCTTATACTTCTTAGTTTTAAAATAATTCTTTCTAAAATGGTAATAATAGACACTTACTTTGTGAAATTAAAAGTTAGCAATCTTATTTTAACCCTCTCAGATTTTTCAGAAACTGTAGGGGGCAGTAATGTAAAATATCCGAGTAACTTCAATTAGAAAAATAGCATGTTTGCCGGGCGCAGTGGCGCATGCCTATAATCCTAGCACTCTGGGAGGCTGAGGCGTGTGGATCATCTGAGGTCGGGAGTTTGAGACCAGTCTGACCAACATGGAGAAACCCCATCTCTACTAACAATACAAAATTAGCCTGTAATCCCAGCTACTCGGAGACTAAGGCAGGAGGATCACTTGAACCAGGGAGGCGGAGGTTGCGTTGAGCCAGCACTCCAGCCTGGGCAACAAGAGTGAGACTCCATCTCAAAAAAAAAAAGAAAAAGAAAAATAGCATGTTTTACCAAGCACTAATACAATAATGTTCTGTAAAAGAAAATCATTTGTAAAGGGAGACTTGATTGGTTTGCTTCATTTTTGTTGAATAATTCCATTACATGACTACTGCATGCCAGACTTTGGAATATAGTGTTAAGTACCACAATCCTAGTTCTAATATGAGAGAGACATTAAACAGTCGTTCATATAAATAAATGCTGTACATAATAACAACTATAATAAGTGGAAGACAAGAAGTGCAAAATGCTATGTGGTATGTTGGGATTCCCAAATTAGAGTTGGGTTCAAGGAAGGTATGGTTGAGGAAGTGAAATTTTAAGATAAGCACAAGAATGAGAGAACAGTAGTATCTCTTCTCTTTTTTTTTTCCCCCCTTGAGACAGATTTTCACTCTGTTGCCCAGGCTGAGTGCAGTGGCACGATCACAGCTCATTGCAGCCTTGAGTTCTCAGGCTCAAGTGATCCTCCTGCCTCAGCCTCACAGGCAACTGGGACTGCAGGCATGCATCAGCATGCCTGGCTAATTTATTATTTTTGTAGAGGTGGGGTCTCACTGTGTTGCCCAGGATAGTCTCAAACTCCTCTCAATGTGCTGGGATTACAGGCATGGGCCTCCACACCTAGCTTCTTCTTAAAGAGTCTCACTCCTCTGACTAGCAACTGGCTACTCTCTGGGTTAGGATTTGGAGAAATACTGGCAGGATATGTGGGAAACATCTGTGTCACAACCCTTGTATTATCTCCTCAGCAGATGGGTAGGAATTGTTTTGATAGGCCAGGAATGGTCACTCCTGTAACCCCAGCACTTTGGGAGGCTGAAGTGGGAGGATTGCTTGAGGCTAGGAGTTTGAGACCAGCCTGGGCAACATAGTGAGACACAGTCTCTCAAAAAAAAAACAAAAAAACCAAGAATTGCTTTGGGTCAGCCATAAGTGGGGGTAACATATCTCTTGAGAGTCAAGACCCTTTATTCAGAAAAGAGAACATAATTCTATAGTGACATGTATAAAATAAAAACAAGTTAAATGTGTTTGCATTAAACCATTGATTTTTTTTTTTTTTTTTTTGAGACGGAGTTTCGCTCTTGTTGCACAGTCTGGAGTGCAATGGCGCGATCTTGGCTCACCGCAACCTCTGCCTCCCGGGTTCATGTAATTCTCCTGCCTCAGGCTTCCTGAGTAGCTGGGATTACAGGCATGCGCCACCATGCCTGGCTAATTTTTGTATTTTTAGTATTAAGATGTGGTTTCTCCATGTTGGTCAGGCTGGTCTCGAACTCCCAACCTCAGGTGATCCGCCTACCTCGCCTCCCAAAGTAGTGGGATTATAGGCCTGAGCCACCGTGCCCGGCCAGAACCATTGATTTTCAAATAGTGTTTTTCACTGAGCCAACGTAAAAAGATGAAGTTCCTCAGGAAACTAGCCATTTCAAAAATTTGAGGGGACTGGATAAAGAAAAAGTAAGGCCATTAAAATTTGAATATTTGGTTATTCTTTTATGTGTCTGCATAGGAACTTGACCTGCCAATTTTGAAAGTGGCTGCTCCAGAGATTGTGTCTGGAGTATCCGGAGAGTCTGAGCAGAAGCTGAGAGAACTATTTGAGCAAGCTGTGGTGAGTCAGTTAATGACTAATGCCAGGTGGTCAGACGCTACCAGCTTATATTAAAGATCCTGCTTTTTCTGATGCTAGTATTTGTTAAGCCACTCACTGGCCATTCTTTTATTAATATAAACATGGTAATTTGCTATGCATGATGGCTAAATATTTAAAGTAGATTTAGTGATACCCACTGTTGGATAAATAACCCTTTTCATTTGAAATCAAACATAAATATAATTGGTGAGAAATTCTAGGCTGTCATACTGTAGTTATATGTTGAAAATATATTATCCTTATGATATTTTCCACTCACTTTTACTTTCCTCAACTTAAGTTTGGCCAAAAAAAAAAAACTTGTAAGCAATGTAAAAATTGTTATTTAGGATATTATAAAAGCAACCATAAAAATGCCAGAGTAAATTCTGTCATTCCTGACTAGTAAACTAGGGCAATAGTAATATCCAAATCTCATGTGGCTATTGAGAGTATTAAATGAGAGAATTCTTTTTTTTTTTTTTTTTTTTTTGAGACGGAGTCTCGCTGTGCTCCCAGGCTGGAGTGCAGTGGCGTGATCTCGGCTCACTGCAAGCTCCGCCTCCCGGGTTCATGCCATTCTCCCGCCTCAGCCTCCCAAGTAGCTGAGACTACAGGCGCCCGCCACCACGCCCGGCTGGTTTTTTGTATTTTTAGTAGAGACGGGGTTTCACCATGTTAGCCAGGATAGTCTCGATCTCCTGACCTCGTGATCCACCCGCCTCGGCCTCCCAAAGTGCTGGGATTACAGGCTTGAGCCACCGCGCCCGGCTGAGAATTCTTATAAAACCTTTGATATGGTGCCTTGCACACAGCACAAGCCCTGTAAATATTAGCTGTAATATTATTCACACTTGAACAAATATCACTGTGTTTAAAATTTAAAAATGGGGAAAAGTTTAATTTTATGTCATTATTAGCACTGACAATATATAGTAGCTGATGAATATCCAATACAACTGCTAGAAGCCTGTGTGAAATTAGAAGAGAAATTATATTTAAGCAGGAATTGAGAAAAAAAAAACATTTTAAATAGCAAGAATAGGTAGGCCATCTACTTAGTTATTGTGTGGGCTGACATTGAAAAAGCTGTGGGCAACACTAGGAGGATAAAGAGAAAAAAGGTGGAAAGGGCAGGGTGCAGAGCAAAGCTGAACTTTTTCAGGTGCTACCTGTTTCCCAAAACGCAGTGGATTCCATTGTTAAATTGGCATGCATAGCTAGAGACAAGTAGTAAATTTTGTGTGTATGATAAACATGATGAATAAGGATAAGAGACAAATGGCATCTTTAGGTTGTTAGTTCTGTGTTTAAACCTCTCACTAAACCAGTACTGAGCCAGTACAGTACCTTACAGTAGATGCTCAGTAAATATGTGGCCTAGCACCCTGCTTTTCCTGGTCCCCTCTTCCCTAATGAGAATGAGTACAGTAAAGCATGTGGATCAGAGAACAAAAAGGTGAAATCCAATCAAGTGATACTTGGTTGAAAACTATGCTTTCTTTAGGCCACATTCTGATGACCATCATTTATTCTTTTTTTTTTCCCCCATTCAGCTTTCCAGGTCACTGACAAGTACTGATGTGCTTGTTTTCTGATGCTTTTGGTCCCTGTAATTTTACTCCTTTGTAACTGGGTAATATATCTAGCAGTCATAGGCATCTTTTGCAAACATTGTCATAAGGATGATTAGGGAAGACAGCCAGCTAGTGATAGGCTAAATATCTTTCCCTTTAAGATGTGGTGGTTCCCATGGTTTTGAGATGCCTTAAGCGACGCTGACAGCCTTAATTAGCATAATCACTGTCACTCCTAACCATTGAGTAACTGAGTAAAATGATTTAGATTGTACATAATTTTCTTCAATTTTTTTCGTTTTAACTGATCCTTATCTCTTTTTTGTGGTAAAATATATATAACAGAATTTACCATTTTAAACATTTTTTTAAGTTTTTGTAAATTATTTTATTTCTTCCATGATGATTTAGAGGGACTATCTTCAAACCAGTACAGATACTTCATAAATCATACCTGGCTGTTTTCTAACCAGTTGAGTAATTTGTTGCACAATAAGCCACCTCACATCTTTCAGCAAGAAATACATTAAATTTTAATAGTAAAGACATTACACAATGAATTAAGACAACAGTTTAAATTTGCTTTAAGTGTTTCTTTGGGGGAGAGGACACTACACTTCTACTCAATGAAGAGAAACATTTTTACAGTCCAGAGGTCTTTTATTTTTTTAACACCTATTATGCCATGAATTCACAGGGAAGAGGTTCCAGCAGCTCAGGCTCCTTCCTATTGATTCTCAGAGTGCACTTCTCTGGGTGGAGCACGCTGATGCTTTCCCTTTTGTTTCTTTTTTCTGATCATTTTCCTCCACACGTTTCAGAAAGCTATCTCGGCTCTTAGAGAGAGTGCTTAATGTGCTCAGTAAGCACATTGATTCTCATACATTGATTATTTTCTTGGCAAGAATCTTGCCCTTGACTTGCTTCTTTACAACAATGCCAGCAGCATGCTGGATAACGTTATAAACTCTTCCAGTTTTGCATTGGTAACACTTGTGGGACATTCCTTTTTGAACAGTACCCATTCCCTTGATGTCTACAGTATCACATTTCTTCCTTTTCTTTTCCTTTTCCTTTTCTTTCTGACAGAGTCTTGTTCTGTCGCCCAGGCTGGAATGCAGTGGCACAGTCTCGGCTCACTGCAATCTCCGCTTCCTGGGTTCAAGCAATTCTCTTGCCTCAGCCTCCCAAGTAGCTGGGATTACAGGCATGCACTACCCACCAGCTAATTTTTTTTTTTTTTGAAATGGAGTCTCTCTCTGTTGCCCAGGCTGGAGTGCAGTGGCGTGATCTCAGCTCACTGTAACCTCCGCCTTCCGGGCTCAAATAATTCTTCTGCCTCCGCCTCCCGAGTAGCTGGGATTACAGACATGCACCACCATGCCCGGCTAATTTTTGTATGTTTAGTAGAGATGGGGTTTCACCATGTTGGCCAGGCTGGTCTTGAACTCCTGACCTCTGGTAATCTATACACCTTGGCCTCCCAAAGTGCTGGGATTACAGGAGTGAGCCATGGCGCCCGGCCTACAATATCACATTTCTTATAGATTTGCATATATATAGCCAAAGGAACAGCTCCATGTTTTCTGAAAGGCTTAGAGAACAACTATCAGGTGCCTCTCCTCTTTCCCTTTGTGTTCATCATTTTGGTTAATGACTGGCAGATGGCAGTTCCAACTGAAAAGGCCATTTTAAACATTTTTAAGTGTACAATTCTGTGGCATTAAGTACATTCATATTGTTGTGTAATCATTACCCACATCCATTTCCAGAACGTCTTCATGTTCCCACACAGTAACTCCCCATTCCTCTCTCCCACCAGTCCCTGGCCACCACCACCATTCTACTTTTTGTCTCAATGAATTTGACTACTCTCGGTAGCTGATCCTTACCTCTTAACTTATTCTTTCTGAACCGTATCTAGTTTATTTCTTAAAAACAAAACAAAACAAAAAACTGGAGGTGATCTTTACACTGATGTATTAGAACTTTACCATCCTTCCTTATTCAGTGTAGCTTTTAAAATAAGCTTCTGGTACTTTTCAGTGTGGATGCTGGGAAAGTTCTGGAGATGGATAGTGGTGACATTTACACAACAGTCTGGAAATATTTAATGCCACTAAACTATATACCCAAAGTGGTTAGAATGGTAAATTTTATGTGTATTTTTCACAGATTTTTTAAAAAGCTTCTGGTGCTTCTCCAATTTCCTCTTATAGCAAATTATAGAGAAAGGCTTGGAGATTCTTATGTTGGTAGAAACCCTCATAAAGTTTCTAGTAAGCTTGGTTTTGCTAATTTAAAGTTTAGAAACTTGTTGTCTTAATTTTTTTTTCTGTGCATATACTTATCCAAAATCATTGTTTCTGTTTCATAGCATAGCAAATGTATCTAATTTACAAAAGAATTTCAATAGATTTATCACAAAACATGCATTGATAGAGAGACTGTAAATGTGTAACCCTATCTGCGGTCCCTTACTGTGTACTTTTAATCATCTTGGTTCTCTTAAGTCAGATAAAAATCAGAAGTAATACATGTGAACTGCCTTTTTTAGGGTTATTCTTTTGGCAAATGATCCTTGACCTTTAAGATTTTTTTAAAACTGTTTATGCTTAACTGTGCTTCAGTATAGGGGATGTATTTATGGTTGTCTTTTTGTGATATTTTTATTTCTAGTCAAACGCACCATGTATCATTTTCATTGATGAAATTGATGCTATTACCCCCAAAAGAGAAGTTGCTTCAAAAGATATGGAACGAAGAATTGTAGCCCAACTCCTAACCTGCATGGATGGTTAGTTTAAAATAATAAATTCATTTTAAGAGAATAAATTTTTAAAAATAGTGTAATTAATACATGAAGATATAAAATAATATTCAAATAATAAATATCAAATAGTGTAAAAAAAAAAGTCATACTGGGCACAGTGGCTCATGCCTGTAATCCTAACACTTTGGGAGGCTAAGGTAGGAGGACTGCTTGAGCCTAGTAGTTTGAGGCCAGCCTGGGCAACATAGCAAGATGCTACCTCTAAAAATAAATAAAAAGAAATAGCACTTGTTTTGTGTACACAAGAAAATTTGAAGTATATATTTTATGTTCCTTGCATTACCAAGTTGCAGGTTGCTTCTTCTTCTGATTAGTGGATTGATTGATTGATGAGATAGCGTATTGCTCTGTCACCCAGGTTGGAATGCAGTGGCACAATCACAGCTCACTGCAGCCTTGACCTCCTGGGCTGAAGTGATCCTCCCATTTAAGCCTCCCAAGTAGCTGGGACCACAGGTGTGCACCACCATGCCTGGCTTTTTTTTTTTTTTTTTTTTGAGACAGAGTCTCTCTCTGTTGCCCAGGCTTGAGTGCAGTGGCACGATCTCAACTCGCTGCAACCTCTGCCTCCTAGGTTCAAGCTATTAGCCTGCCTCAGCCTCCTGAGTAACTGGGATTACAAGTGCGTGCCACCACACCTGGCTGATTTTTGAGACGGGGTGTTGCCATGTTGGCCAGGCTGGTCTTTTTGTGATATTTTTATTTCTAGTCAAATGAGGCAGGTTGATCACCGGCCTCAGCTTCCTAAAGTGCTGGGATTACAGGTGTGAGCCACTGTGCCTGGGATTTTTTTTTTTAAAGACAGTCTCACTATGTTGCCCAGGCTGGTCTTGAACTCCTGAGCTTAGTCTTTCTGCTTCAGCCTCCCAAAGTGCCAGGATTCTGTTTCCTTTTTATCTAAAATTTTCTTGTCATGTCTTTGAGGCCTGTATTCTGAGAAAAAGCTTTCATGGCTTCCTGCTCGCTAAAGAACACACTGTATAAATTTATACATGATTTCATGATTTCCTTATGATTTCATCTTATTACTTTCTTGTTACCTGTGAGGGAAAATAACCTCAGACTCCCTGCTATTCAATCCTGGTTCAGTTGAGAGAAATAATACTTAGGAAAGATAAGATTTAAGCCCTCAGTTTTGTCTGTTCCTAGAAATACATTCCTAGATTAAGCCCGAACAGCTGAAGACTATTTTATATTCCCCTGCTCGAATTAATTTTATCAGTCTATTCTGAGCCACACACTTCAGCATCCTCCCCAGCTTCCCTGTTGTCCTGCTCACCTTGCATGGATTTGCCATGCATGCTCGACCCTCTGTGCTTTCACTCATACTCTTTCTTCTACATAGAATTCCATTAACCTATATATCTGCTTGTTAAAATTCTATTTACCCTTCAAGCCTTTTCTGAAATGTTACCGCCTCCATGAACCCTCCCTTATTCCTCAGTTGGAATTCATGATGTCTTTTCTTGTATTACCATGGTGCTTTGTTTATATCTGTTATTACACTTCACAAAATTTGTCTGATGCCATTTTTTTATTTACACACTCGATGTTTCTCAATAGATTGTGAACTGCTGAGGACAGAGTTTGTATTGTATTTATCCTCCTCATACCTTTTACATATTTGACATTTAATAAATGTTGATTTTATATGTACGTCACTGTCAAAATCTGTAATACTTTCTCTTTAACCATGAAATGATTTCTGTAACCATTATTGCCCTCAATGTCAAGTGCTTTGTTCACCACTCTTTCTCTGTCTCTTACTAGATCTGAATAATGTGGCTGCTACAGCCCGGGTGCTAGTTATTGGAGCTACTAATCGACCAGACTCATTAGACCCTGCTTTGAGACGTGCAGGAAGGTTCGACCGAGAAATATGCCTAGGTATCCCAGGTGAAGCATCCAGAGAAAGGTATATTCTTATAGAATGAAGTTTGTATGCCACTAAGTCATCTTAACTGAATGGTTTGAAAGTAAGAGGTGAGAAATACCATGTAGCCTTTTCTTTCTCTCTCACTTTCTTTTTGTACCAATTAAGTTGATTTGGAAAAGGATAAGCCCACATTAAGAAAATGATTTATGCTTGAGTGCAGTGGCTCAGGCCTGTAATCCCAACACTTTGGGAGACTGAGGCAGGAGGATCACGTGAGACCAGGAGTTTGAGCCTGGGCAACATAGTGCGACACTGTCTCTACAAAAAATCAAATTAGCTGTGCACATACCTGTAGTCCTAGCTAGTCAGGAGGCTGAAGCACAGGAGGATTGCTTGAGCCCAGGAGTTCGAGGCTGCAGTAAGTCATGATTGTGCCTCTGCACTCCAACCTGGGTGACAAAGGGAGGACCCACCTCTGTAAAAAACAGGGGAAGAAAACAGTTTACTCATCAGTAGGATAATTGTTTTTCAGAAGTAGTAATGGACTTATGTGTCCCTACTCATTTGTCTGGTCTTACTAACAATGGCTTGCAGTCTTTAGTTGGCTGACCAGATTACTGGCAATGTCTGGAGCTATAGAATACAGCAGAGCCATTTGGTCCACATACAGGTTAAATCTGAGTACCATACTTTCACCTATTGCACTAACCTGTCTGAGACCACAGGTCCTGTTATCAGTAATGCGATGACGGCCAGACAGTTGAAAGCTGTTTGCTGCAGCACCAGCCTTTCCTAGTAATTGAGCAAATGAATAATGTCCATAGAGCAAATAAACATCCACCAATAACCAGAAATATAACTTCATAAGCAAGACTATCTCAAGAAGCACTGTTGAGGTGGTAGAGTGGAAATCGAGGTAAGAAATGTTCTGAAATATTAGGCCAGGTGTGGTGGCTCACACCTATAATCCTAGCACTTTGGGAGGCTGAGGCGGATGGATCACCTGAGGTCAGGAGTTCAAGACCAGCCTGGCCGACATGGTGAAACCCCGTCTCTACTAAAAATACACAAAAATTAGCTGGGCATGGTGGTGCACGCCCGTAATCCCAGCTACTCAGGAGACTGAGGCAGGGGAATTGCCTGGGAGGTGGAGGTTGCAGTGAGCTGATGTCACGCCACTGCACTCCATCCAGCCTGGGTGACACAGCAAAACCCTGTCTCAAAAAAAAAAAAAAGAGTATTTAATGAGGAAGGGGTGAACTGAAGATGAAGATCTTGGTGAGGTCCAGGAACAGTGCGGGAGTAATAGCACATATAAGCTCAGACATTTGAGACTGGGCAGAATGCCGCGTGTGAGATTGTGATCTCAGACAGGGGCCAGATCCAGGTGATGATGAGGTCCAGGGTGTGAGTAAGTGAGGGAAAAGGCCAGACCTGGGCGGGATTGGGGTGCAGAGGCAATGAATAGATGCCCAAACTTTGAGTCAGCGAAGGAAAATTATTCCACCTCTGCCTCCTGTTATCCTTGGTCCTTGTCCAATGTTTTAACATTTCCAAGCTTTAGTTTATTTATCTATAATGCAGTAATATTTATCTATAATGCAGTAATAATAACAGTAATAACTTTATCTGTAAAGTGATAATACTATAAATTAAAGGCTTCCTGTGAGTATTGAATTAACATAACCTAGCACAATATCTGACACATAGAATTTTTTGCACAATATCTGACACATAGAATTCTTTAAAATAAGGTAGCTATTGATATCTGTCTCTTTTATTATTTTTTTTATAGAGTGAGAGAGGGTCTCACTATGTTGCTCAGGTTCATCTTGAACTCCTGCCCTCAAATGATCCTCCCAATATCATCCTGTACTTCAAAAGCATAAAATTACGGAAAAGTTTCAGCATACATAAAAGGAGACCCATATAACTGTTCCAGTTTCTATTGGTGTAAAACAGACCACACCAAAATTTAGTGTCTTACAACAGTACTCATTTTATTGTGTCTCACAGTTTCTGAGGATCAAGAATTTGGAAAGGCCTCAGCTAGATGGTTCTGCCTCATGGTCTCACGTGGCTGCAGTAGCTGGAGCTAGAACAGTGGTAGCTTTCCCCTCCTTTGGAGTTTCTACAGTATAATGACTAGAAATATCCACTTATTTTTAGGGATAGAGTACAACTATGAAAAAGATGTTATTATTTTCTGTTAGCCATTTTCATAACATCCAAAATGTTCTTAGTACAGATAGTCCCCAACTGACAGTGGTTTGGCTTATAGTTTTTCAACTTTACAAAGGGTTTATCATGATGTTTTTGACTTAGAATGGGTTTATCAGGATGTAAACTCATGGTAAGTCGAAGAGTATTTTGTATTCTTATGCATAGTAGCAAATTGGATCTGTGTCTTTTGGAAATAGTTCTTTAGTGGAAAGTTTTCTTGATTCCCATTATTCAGAGTATCCAAGTGAAATTTTAAAAAATTTGTCAGTAATGTTTATCTGCTTCTATTCTGCTCACTTACATGATCCCATATGATTTTTCTATAATCTTTATTAGCTTGACATTTGAAAATATTAGTCTTCTTTACACATTTATTAATTTTAAAATATATTTGCTTGTCCAAGTTAGTTTATAATATCAAAACATGTAAATAAGAATTAACATTCATTGGTGCATGCCTATAATCCCAGCTACTTCAGAGACTGAGGCAGGAGAATCACTCGAACCTGGGAGGCAGAGGTTGCGGTTAGCCGAGATTGCGCCATTGCACTCCAGCCTGGGCAACAAGAGCAAAACTCCGTCTCAGAAAGAAAAAAAAAAAAAGAATTAACATTCATTGGTCACTAACTATGGATCAGCCACTGTTTTATGTGCTTTGCGTGTATTCATTTGTAGCAACCGCCCTCTGAATAAGTGTTACTATAATATAGATTGAATAAGTGAAGAAACTGAAGCACAAAGGTTAAGTAACTGGCCCAGATTACAAAGGGTAACAGAGCTGGGATTCAAACTCTTGCAGTTTGGCTTCAGACCTTTTATCCTGAATATCTTTTTTTATTATTATTCGAGACAGAGTCTTGCTCTGTCATTCAGGCTGGAGTGCAGAGACACAATCTTGGCTCACTGCAACTTCCACCTCCCGGTTCTGTCGCCCAGGCTGGAGTGCAATGGCGTGATCTCGGCTCACTGCAAGCTCCGCCTCCCAGGTTTACACCATTCTTCTGCCTCCGCCTCCTGAGTAGCTGGGACTACAGGCGCCCGCCACCACGCCTGGCTAATTTTTTGTATTTTTAGTAGAGACTGGGTTTCACTGTGTTAGTCAGGATGGTCTCGATATCCTGACCTCGTGATCCGCCCGCCTTGGCCTCCCAAAGTGCTGCGATTACAGGCGTGAGCCACTGCACCCGGCCACTCCCAGCTAATTTTTGTATGTTTAGTAGAGATGGGATTTTGCCATGTTGACCAGGCTAATCTCAAACTCTTGACCTCAAGTGATCTGCCTGTCTCAGCCTCCCAGAATAATTGCAGGTGTGGGATTACGGGCGTGAGCCACTGCACCTGGTCTCATCTTGAATATCTTTACTGCTTTTAAGTTTTTATTTAGGTCTTATCAGAAATTGTTCAAGATATTCCTTTAACAACAATTATCTAGAAGTCCAGATTTTTATAGATACCATGTTGCCAATTAGGTTGAACAAGATTTTTCACACGTGTAGTACAGGGGATGAACAATAAGTAAAGTTAAAGTTGGAGATTTAACTGTCCTCATATAAAATGGGAAGTATATGGCAAGATAATTTTCAATGATGAAGATAATTAATGGTTTGTGTGAATGTGGGGGCTTTTATTTCTGGTAGACATCCATTTAATCTACTCTAAAAGTACCCACATAAGTTATTTATCTTTTTTTCCCTGTAATGTTATAAATTCTTACAGGCAAAATATTTTTTAAAAATTCTATGTATTCCTCACAGCATTTAGCATGGTTCCTAACAAAGCAGATATTTACCATAATCCTTTCTGGAATAAGATGGAACATGTAACTTAGCATTTGTTGAGTGAATGAACTATTTGATCTTATATAGTATCCATTTTGATACCTTTGGCAGATGTGAAGAACTTCGAATAAATATAGCTGGTGACTTGTTTTTACTATTAAATTGGGAATCAGAAAATTTTTCCCCTGTCTTTTCTACAGAATACTTCAGACGTTGTGCAGAAAACTGAGGCTTCCTCAAGCTTTTGATTTCTGTCACTTAGCACACCTAACTCCAGGCTTTGTTGGTGCTGATCTGATGGCACTGTGCCGAGAGGCAGCAATGTGTGCAGTCAACAGAGTCTTAATGAAGCTACAGGAACAGGAGAAGAAAGATCCTGAAATGGAAGATTTGCCATCTAAAGGAGTCCAGGAGGAAAGTCTGGGAACTGAATCCACTTCTGAAACACAGGTGCTTTCTCTAAAGGCACTTTAAATTGTCCTTTTAATGTTCTTTGTGTTATTTTATATTGAAGCAAGGGTCAGTATAGTTGAGATTTATTACTTTCTGTTTTATTGGCATTTAATCTATAGAATAATTATCATTTATACCCATAATGTGTATCATTTCAAAAATACGAGTTGTTTTATGTTTATTCTGAATAAATTCATTTTACAATAATGATTATGAGATTCTGGAATGGGGTTGGCAGACTGTGGCCTACCCACCCACCACCTGTTTTTGTAAATTAAAGTTATATTGGAACACAGCCATGTTCATTTGTATACATGTTGCCTCTTTCTGCTTTCGTACTTCACGGCAGAATTCACATAGGAGTCTGCAGCAGATACCATAGCCCACAAAGCCTACAGTGTTTACTGTCTAGACCTTTACAGAAAAAGGTTGTCAACCCCTATTTCAGCATTGGCATTTAATTATATCTCCTGATTAACTTTTGGTTTACAGTGGTCTGTTGACACAACTATATCCACGTCGGTAGCTGCAAACAGCTCTGGAGGACAGTCATATGAATAATAGGGGACATTTATCAATCTAAGATCAGTATTAAATTTTTTAGTTTTGTGAGTCATGAAAATTCAATATATATAGCATTTTATGTAGCATTTTATAGCTTGCACAGATGGCTTCTGTATGTTATATAATTTGATCCCTGTAACCTTATATAAATATCATTATTTTCCCCATTTTATAATCAAAGGCATTAAGCTTAAGAGGTTGTGATTTGCCCAAGCCCATACAGCCTCTACTTTATAGAGCAAGGGCTTAAATCCAGATCTTTTGTTCTCACATAATTTATTTTTTTCTTAGACATTTGAAACTGCAATTACTTCTGTAAAAAATAACAAACTCATTTGTTTTATAATATTGCATATAAATTAATATTTTATAAATTGAATTAATCAGTTACCTATTTTTTAGACTTATCCTTTCATCTTCACAAAGCAAGAAATCTGCCTTTCAAGATTTGATAGTAATAGGAAAATTGCCTTCCCTCTACTTAGTTGATAAACCGTTAAGGAACCATATTAATGAATTATACTACCTCCAGCGTAACTTTTTAAAATTTCAGCAGGATTCAGCTGTTTCTTGAATATTCATAAATGAAACATAGGAAATATCATGGTTGCTGAAATGAATATTTGCCAACTGCTTATATTTGCTATACCTAGCCCTAGTATATAGAAATCATTCTTATATATTTAATTATAATTGGTGTATCTTTACTTGACCAGAGCATATGATCCTTTAGAATAAAATGAGCTTGTCTCATGTCAGAGAGAAAATTATTAAAATACATAGAAGTTCAGGATAGCTTACGGAAATACTACAGTAATAATTTTTATAAGTAGAAAATGTAACTTTGCTATAGCTGTTGTGGTGTTTTTTATCTTCCCCTCAATTGTTCCCTTCAAGGATGAATTACAAAGGCTGCTGGGGTTGCTAAGAGACCAAGATCCCCTCTCAGAGGAGCAGATGCAAGGCCTGTGCATTGAACTGAATGATTTCATTGTTGCTCTATCCTCAGTCCAACCCTCTGCCAAAAGGGAAGGCTTTGTCACTGTCCCTAACGTGACATGGGCAGATATTGGTGCCCTGGAAGACATTAGAGAGGAGCTCACCATGGCAATATTGGTAGGTATATCAGCTGCCAAATATTATTGGCATGTCATGGATTAAGGATCAGAGATAAAGCTCCATGCATGTGTACTAGGTTCTGTGGCTAAACTGACTTAATCACTGTGTCTAAATTGACTTGAATGTAGCACTTCTTTCAAGTGCTAAGCCCCCAACAATGGTTTTTCTTTTGTTTGAGATCTGATTTATTTGTTTATTTTTTTAATTGATATATCACAGTTGTAAATATTTTGGGGGTACATATGATATTTTGATACATGTATTAAATGTGTAATGATGAAGTCAGAGTAATTGGGATATTCATCACCTCTAATGTTTATGTTTTGTGTTGGGAACATTATACTTTTTTTCTTCTAGCTGTTTTGAAATATACTTTTTTCTTCTAGCTATTTTGAAATACACTTTTTTTCTTCTAGCTATTTTGAAATGTAATTTCCCTACTGGGCTATCAAATACCAGAACTTATTACTCCTATCTATATTTTTTTACCCATTAACCAACTTCTCTTCATCATACTCCTCTCCGCCTTGCCTTTCCAGCCTCTGGTAACCATCAGTTTGCTCTCCATTTCCATGAGATCCACTGTATTAGCTCCCACTATGAGTGAGAATGTGCAATATTTGCCTTTCTGTGCCTGGTTTATTTTACTGACATAATGACCTCTAGTTCCATCCATGTTGCTGCAAATGACAGGATTTCCTTCATTTTTGTGGCTGAATAATACTCCACTGAGACCTATTTTGTGCTGATCCTTTTGGTTGTGCTTCATTTCTATAGCAGTGAGTTTAAACAAGCACAAAAACCTTCAGGTTTCATTCAGTCAAGACCAAATCGTTTGACAAAGACTTTCTGAACCTGATTTTATGGGTCAAGGCAATTTTAATGCACGTAAAACTTCGGATTAATTTTTATTTACTTTACTTTTCTACTCATCGTTCCGTGATTCATTAATTGAAATATGATCGTTTTAGAGGTATGTACTACTGAAAGAGAAAATACACTGGAATTATAGTCAACAGGTATCTCTGACTTTTAACTATGCAAAAGTTACTGCTGCGTCTGATTTCTTAGAGGAGACCATTGTCTAAACATTTTATAACCTAGATATTTAAACGGTTTTCTAAAAAATATTTGTCGAAATATTCTATTGTTATGTCTAAAATGTTCTTAGATGTTACGTTCAGTATACATTCCTCAAGCGCGGGGACTTTTCTCTTTATCACCACAGGGCATGAACAGGTAAACAGGTACTGTTCATATCTTTAGGCCTCACAGTCATGTTGAAATTAAGCCTGAGAGGCCGGGCACAGTGGCTCCTGTCTGTAATCCCAGCACTTTGGAAGGCTGAGGCAGGTGGATCACCTGAGGTCAGGAGTTCGAGACCAGCCTGGCCAACGTGGTGAAACCCCAACTCTACTAAAAATGCAAAAATTGGCCGGGCGCGGTGGCTCAATCCTGTAATCCCAGCACTTTGGGAGGCCGAGATGGGTGGATCACGAGGTCAGGAGATCGAGACCATCCTGGCTACCACAGTGAAACCCCGTCTCTACTAAAAAAATACAAAAAAAAACTAGCCGGGCGAGGTGGCAGGCGCCTGTAGTTCCAGCTACTCGGGAGGCTGAGACAGGAGAATGGCGTGAACCCGGAAGGCGGAGCTTGCAGTGAGCTGAGATCCGGCCACTGCACGCCAGCCTGGGCGACAGAGCGAGACTCCGTCTCAAAAAAATAAAATAAAATAAAAAATACAAAAATTAGCCAGGTGTGGTGGCATGTGCCTGTAGTCCCAGCTACTCACAAGGCTAAGGTAGGAGGATCGCTTGAACCCAGGAGGCAGAAGTTGCAGTGAGCCAAAGTAATGCCACTGCACTCTATCCTGGATGATAGAGGCACGCTCAAAAAATAAAAAAACATAAAATATATATCTGAAGATAATTTGAACCTGCAGTATAAAATAGGTATGTAATGGATCACCGTTGGTATCATTCTTTCCAGGCACCAGTACGCAACCCAGACCAGTTCAAAGCTCTTGGATTGGTGACTCCAGCTGGGGTCCTCCTTGCTGGTCCGCCTGGCTGTGGGAAGACTCTGCTGGCAAAGGTATATATGTTCAATTGCATGTAATTGATTTCTTACTATCAGATATGAATTTAACTTTAAATATTACAGTTAGGTAAGTCTTATGCATAATTTTTATCAGAAGTTTATTTTAGCAAAACTGACAACTTTCTTCATGAAAATTTCCTACTTTTTTAAATTACAAAGGCACATGATTGAAAAATGTTTATATCAACCATAATCCTATCAATTTTAACATACAATTATATATTTTCTGTGTATTATATTTTAGCTTTTTAGTGAGTATTATTCCATAGTTTAAGTTTTTACTTGACTTGGTTTCCTGCTTTGGTATTGTTATTGTTTATAACTTAAATATTTCTTGTAATTATTTTCTAAAATTGTTTTTTCATAATAGAAAATAAAAAGCAAAAAGGAAAAGCATTGTGTGTAATTCACTACTATGTACTACTATTATTTCATTTCATTGTCAATCCTTCAGATATTTTTCTATGCATACATATCAAAATAATATCTAACTTTTACATTTTTACATGCATGTTTACAAACATAAGCTTTTTTTCCCCCCCCTTTTTGAGACAGAGTCTCATTCTGTTGCCCAGGCTGGAGTACAGTGGCGTGATCTTGGCTCACTGCAACCTCCGCCTCCCGTGTTCAATCAATGATCTTGCCTCAGCCTCCCGAGTAGCTAGGATTACAGGCACACGCCACCACGCCTGGCTAATTTTTGTATTTTTAGTAGAGATGGGGTTTCACCATGTTGGTCAGGCTGGTCTCAAACTTCTGTGACCTGCCTGCCTCAGCCTCCCAAAGTGCTGGGATTACAGGCATGAGCCACTACACCCAGCCACAGATATAAGCTTTTTTAAACATATTTTTCTCACTTAGTTATATTTCCTGAGCATCGTCACGTCAGTATATATTGATACACATCAATATTTTTAATGCCTGCATAATATTCTACCATAAAGATAGATGTTCTATAATTTATGGAAATGATCCCATATTGAAACAACACTACTTTAAATGGTCTTGCACTTATATGTTTGTAGCTTGACTAATAATTATATTAGAATGCATATCTAAGTAATTTTCCAGTCAAAGGAATGTATGTTTTTAAAGCTTTTGAGCCATATTATTAAAATGCCTTCCTAAAGGTTTTCACCAGTTTTTACCTTTGTATCAATAGGATATGAGTATCAATTTTCCCACACCTTAAACTAGTGATGGCCATGAACGTTGCTTTTAATAGTGGACAATTTAATAGGTAAAAATGCTGTCTTGCAGTTTAAGTAGCATTTTAAAAATTACTAGTGTTTTTTTGGCCAGGCGTGGTAGCTCATGCCTATAACCCCAGCACTTTGGGAGGCCGAGGCAGGTGGATCACTTGAGACCAGGATTTCGAGACCAGCGTGGGCAACATGGTAAAACCCTGTCTCTACTAAAGTAAATTACGAAATTAGCCAGGTGCAGTGCTGCATGCCTGTAATCCCAGCTACTGGGGAGGCTGAGGCACAAGAATTGCCTGACGCAAGGAGGCAGAGGCTGCAGTGAGCCAAGATCACGCCACTGCATGCCAGCCTAGGCAACAGAGTGAGACTGTCTCAAAAAAGAAAAAAGAAAACAAAAACTAATGTTTTTTTAATTTAAATATGTTTATTGGCTATTTTTCTTTGTGAATTGTCTATTCATATCCTTTCCTGTTTTTCTAATGGCATACATGTGATTTTCTTTCTTATTTATAATCACTTCATATATTAAGATTTGTTATTTATAAATGTTGATCAGTTTATCTTGACTGTAATCATGTTTGACACCTTGAGCTTTTTTGGTTTTATTTTTATGTGGGCAAATTTCTGTCTTTTTGTGCTTTTTTTTTCCCTTTGGACTGATGCTTATTAGAACTGTCTTCCCTATGTGTAAAGTATGTTATCCATCATTTTCAGTGTCTGTATAATATTACATCCATAACTAACCCTTATCAACTTTTAAAAATATTTTGAATTACTTGTAAGAAATTGAAATAATAACATTTTTAATAAGTACCACAGCAACTGAATTATAACTCCTCAGTAAATATCAAATGTCCATAGTGCTGTGTGTAAAACTTATGTTTATTTATACTACTAATTTTCCTTGCTTAATGTGTTCAGTACTCTTACAAGGCATTGCTTTCAGGGAGCTGGGTATGGAGTTAGAAGAGAACGACACAGTCATTGATCTACATTTTTTTCACAATGGTTTTGGAAAAATATAGCCAGAAAGAAGGTTCTGCATGCTGGTGTGTGAATTCTCCAGGTCAATGCGTTCCCTTTCGTGTGTGTCTTACAGTGTTTATTATTTAATTAGTTACATCTGCCTTTGAGTAGTCCTGTTCACAGCAGAGAGGAGGTAGCTTGGATAACTTGAAAAGCATATATGGTACTAAAACATCATAGATCCACATTTCTCCTCTTCTTCTCCCCCCTACTGAACTGCCAACAATTGAGGACCACTCTGTTTAGTCAGATTTCTGTGTGTGTGTGTGTGTGTGTGTGTGTCTGTGACAGAGTCTTGCTCTATCGCCCAGGCTGGAGTGCAGTGGCACAACCTTGGCTCACTGCAACCTTCACCTCCCGGGTTCACGCCATTCTCCTGCCTCAGCCTCCCGAGTAGCTGGGACTACAGGTGCCCACCACCATGCCCGGCTAGTTTTTTTTTTGAATTTTTTAGTAGAGACGGGGTTTCACCGCGTTAGCCAGGCTGGTCTCGATCTCCTAACCTCGTGATCCGCCCATCTCGGCCTCCCAAAGTGCTGGGATTACAGGCGTGAGCCACTGTGCTGGCTTTAGATTTCTTATATCTGACCTTTGGGAGCGGGGACTCTTACCTAGGACTCCATGGATGGACTTCACAGCTTCACTGAATCTGTGAGCCGAGGCCATGTATTGTGTGTATATGTATTGTTTCTGGGGAAGAGTGTTCACAACAACTTTCATCAGGTTCTCCGAAGGGTGCAAGACTAGGTGCCCAAGAATCCAGAAATAGAAAATGTCCTTGAATGGCAGAGGCAAAGTGTGGCCTAGGATAAACTCATGGAACAAATTATAGGTCAGAACCTAGAAACCTAGAGATGCATATAAAATTAGGTATTTGGCTGATCTTGATTGTTTTATTTACTCAGGATAACCAAATAATACAATTTTTGTTGGCACCTGCACATACTAAGTATGTAACTAGCATAAAGTCAGGGCATGCAGTTGCTGGAGTTGGAGAGGTTTGGGAGAGTAAGAATTGGGAGTCTAGTTTTGGAAGTGATAGTTTTGAAATGCTTGTGTGATCCAAGTGGTGATGCTGAGGAGTAGTAAGTGGAACATAGATCGGGAGCTCAGATACCAGGTTCTAAGAATAGGAAAGGACTCTCTTCCATGATCATTTTGAAGTTCTGATTGATTTTATTCAGATTTCACCTCTGCGTTCAGATTATAATTCTTAGACTCTTCTACACATACAACTATGTGTTTCTCAACATTGACCCTTCGTAAAGACTGATAACTGATGTTGTTAAATTTTCATTTGTAAATGAATGAATACTTTCACCCCATGAGGTATTTCTTGAGTACAGAGACTAGCATTTTCACTGGAATCCCAAATTAGGGCTATAAATGTATTTGTATTTACATAAGCATGTTTATGTAAACAAATGTTCACATAAATATTTTGTGTCATTTCCATTTGATTTATAGCCTTAGTAATTCTTAGAAAGTCCTAGGTTTCAGCCTGGGCATTGTGGCAAAACCCTGCCTCTACCAAAAAAATACAAAAATTAACTGAGTGTGGTGGCAGACTCCTGTAGTCCCAGCTCCTCGGAAGGCTGAGGTGAGAGGATTGCCTGAACCTGGGAAGTCAAGACTGCAGTGAGCTGTGATCTCATCACCACACTCCAGCCTGGGCGACAGTAAGATTCTGTCTCAAAAAAACAGAAAAAAAATTAAAGTGAAATTAAAAAAAAAAAAGAAAGTTGTAGGGTTTACCTTTGATTTTACCTTTATGTTCATTCCCTTTTTCCCATTTGTCTTTTTTTCTTTTTCTTTTTCTTTTCTTTTTTTTTTTTTTGAACAGGAGTCTTGCTCTGTACCAAGGCTTAGAGTGCTATGGCGCAATCTGAACTACCTGCAACCTCTAGCATCCCTGGTAACGAGCAGTTCTCCCTCTGTCCTCAGCCTCTCGAGTAGCCTGAGATATAGGCACATGCCACCCGCGTCCCCCTTAAATTTTTGTATTTTAGTAAGAGGATTGGGGTTTCAACCCCATATTGGGTCAGGCTGGTCTGAACTCCTGACCCTCAGGTGATCACCCCGCCTCATGCCATCCCAAAGTACTAGATTACAAGGCGGGAGCCACGCACCAGCCTTTTTCCCTTTTTTTCCTTTTTTTTTTTTTTTTTTATCCATCCAACATAGTAGATCATTTATTTTCCTTCTAGTCCTGCGGTTCCATACATAAGATGCTTCTCTTCACCCCTTTGGGTTGAACAGTTTTTCTCCAGTTGCTGCTGATGATAAATTGATAAAGGCTCGCCGCAAGAGGCCCCCAGTCCAAGACTCATGGCCTGAGCCTCCCCATAAGAGCCTGCCCTCATCTCGCTCATGCACACAAGGCCCGGTAATGCCATTACATGAAGTCTCCTTGGAGGCCTTGGGCCACAGCATCCTCCACGTTCTGAAAGAAGACTTGGAATGGTTGCCTGGAAAAGCTTCCACTTTGGTTCTTGAGCGGCAAATTCACCTCTCCCAGCCACCCTTCTCCCTGGATTGCTCCCCAAAATCATTTCCATCTTCATTCTTGGGGATCAGGTGCTGGATCCATGTAATCACCAGAATGCATTTCTCCTTTGAGAGTCCAGACTTCTGGCTTAACCAGGGCAAGCAGGGACAGGACTTTCTCATTCCCAGGGAGAAATCCACACTTAGGGACTTCTTTCTTCTCCTGCTTATCTGTTTCCATCTCATCATCCTTGGGTGGAGGGTCTGGGATGGGGATGTCCAGTGGGGCCCGGAGGGAAGTCAGGTCAGCCACATTGAGGGAGTCCTCTTGCAAGAGCTGATTCAGGTATATGATTTTCTGTGGCAAGAATCTGTAGAGGAATTCCTCGGCCTCCTGGAAAAGATTCTGCCTGAAGACCTCCACCTGTTTGCGGGCTTCCCCGCTCAGGCGCACCCCACACGGCTTGGCCATGCTGCTTCAGTCGCTAGATCTCTGGTCTCCTTTTTTCCTTTTAATAAGAAACAAGTCACTATTAATATAGGAAGGGAGACACAGACTTAAGACCACAAAAAGGGCTGGGCGCCACTCATGCCTGTAATTCTACCATTTGGGAGGCCGAGGTGTGCAGATCACGAGGTCAGGAGATTGAGACCATCCTGGCTAACATGGTGAAACCCCATCTCTACTAAAAATACAAAAAATTAGCCGGGCTTGGTGGCAAGCACCTGTAGTCCCAGCTACTCAGGAGGCTGAGGCAGGAGAATGGCATGAACCTGGGAGGCAGAGCTTACAGTGAGCCGAGATTGCACCACTGCCCTCCAGCCTAGGCGATCGAGCGAGACTCCGTCTCAAAAAAGAAAAAGAAAAAAAACACAAGAAGTCCTTTGTCACACATCATCATTATTATTGTTGTTATTATTACTGCGTATTGGCCTTACTTGTGTCTTTTTGTTTCCTCTTGCTAGGCTGTTGCAAATGAGTCTGGACTAAATTTTATATCTGTCAAGGGCCCTGAATTACTAAACATGGTAAGTTACTGAGCATGAGTCATTATTTTAGATTAGAAAAAGTAATGGTCATGCAAGCTACGGGGTAAAATGTTCTCAGATCTTTCAGCAGTTGTGGTATTTTGGTATTTAAAATCAGTGCCATAGGAGTGAGGAGGTTGAGCTTTGCTCTCCTCTGCTACTTTGGGTGTATAAATGCTTTCTCAATTAAGTCTGTTAACCTCTGAGCCTGAATTTTCCCACAGCTAGAAGCAGTAGAGCAAAGATTTCAGTCTGAGTTGTCTGACTCCTGATCTACTTTTTGTCCTGTTGTCGTGTGGCTTAGATGAGTTCCGTATTAATAAATAAAAATACTTCTGGAGATAGAAGTCACTCAAGTGCTGTATCTTCCTTCTGCATTTAAGCAATTTATTATCTAAATTTAAGACACTTTGAATTTCTTATTTTTTGTCCTTCTCTATGAAAAGTAAAAATGCCATTCTATGATATATTCCAACAAAGAAGAAATGAGGGTAACATTTGTTTTAAAAGGTTTTTAAAATTTATCTCTACCCCAACTTTTAAATCTTTCCTATTGTGTATTACTTTCTCCCTAAAATAAGGGAGTTATACTTAAGTATTTCCTATGGACTTTTTACATACCTCGTAACTTTTCTTGTACTTCGTTTTGATTTTCCAGCAGAGGTGGTATTAGATGTGAACCTTGAAGCAGAGGGCGTTGGTGGGAACTGGGATTGGAAAAGAAGGTTATAGCCAGACGCTGAAGGGCCTTTATACCAAGCTAGAATTTGGATGTTAACTTCAGAATATCAGAGAGCTAATAGAGGCTTTAAATAAAGCAAGAGTGTAACATATTTTTAAAGATTGTAATTAGTAAAAATTTTATTATAAAAGTTTCCACATATAAGGAATTCCAAAGAGTAATATAATGTACCCCTATGTATCTATCACCCAGCAAAAAAAAAAAAAAAGTGCACTTAAAGCTTTTGCAAACCCTTCCTCGTGATGTTCCCTGTTCTGTCTCCCATGGAACTTACCACAAGGCTGAATTTGGTGCTTATTAGTTCCATGCACTTCTTTCTATATTTACTATGTATGTATGTATCCCTAAACAATATATAGTATTATTTTGTATGTCTCAGAAGTATGAGGCCTGGCACAGTAGCTGACACCTGTGACCCCCAGCACTTTGGGAGACTGAGGCAAGAGGATCACTTGAGGCCAGGCATTTAAGACAGACCAACGTACCAAAACCCTGTCTCTACCAAAAAAAATTTTTAATGTAATTTTGTTTTTAAGTATGAGGTTTATGAGATAATTGGAAATGTTAGTGCTTACTGAATATTTGATATTAAGGAAATACTAATTTTTAAGTGTAATAATGACATGTTAAAATCATTATATTTTGGAGATACTGAAATATTTATAAATAAAATAGGACATCTAGGATTTTCTTCAATAAAACAAGGAAAGTGGACAGGAGTATAGATGAAACAAGATTGGTCATACATTGAGTTGATAATAATTGAAGGTCAGTGATGGATACATTTGAAGTTTATAACTGTTATATCTACTTTAGTTATACTTTTGGACTCTCCTTATACACTCTCCATGGTATAAAGCAAAACAAACAAAAAAGCCCTTTAAATAGTGTGTATTCTTTTGCAACTTGGTTTGGTTGGGTTTTTTGGTTTTTGTTTTGTTTTGTTTTGTTTTTTGAGAGAGAGACAGGATCTCTGAAAGCAGAGGTTTTGCTATGTTGCCTGGGCTGGTCTCAAACTCCTGGCCTCAGGTGATCCTCCTATCTCAGCCTCCCAAAATGCTAGGATTACAGGCGTGAGTGACTACACCTATTCTTGGTTGTTATTTTTGTTCAATATTTACTTATAATACTTATCTCTGTTGATGTATTTTTAGTTTATTAACTTTTTGTGTGGCATTTCATTGAATGAATATAACCATACTTTAAAAATCAGGGTTTTTTTCCTGATGAATTTTTAGGTTGAATATTATATATGTATATCTTTGCATATATTTGTGAGATTTTTTTCTGCCTAGGGTATATACCCAGAAGGAGAATTGCTGAATCTTAGAGTATGTGCACTTTCAAAAATATTAGGTATTGGCTGGGCATAGTGCCTCACACCTGTAATCCCAGCACTTTGAGAGGTCAAGGCAGGAGGATTGCTTGAGGCCAGTTTGAGACCAGCATGGGCAACATAGTGAGACCCTGTCTCTACCAAAAAAACCATAAAATTAGCCAGATGCACACCTGTAGTCCCATCTTCTTGGGAGGCTGAGGTAGGAGGATTGCTTGAGCCTAAAAGGTCGAGGCTGCAGTGAGCTATGATTGCGCCACTGCTCTCCAGCCTAGACAACACAGCAACATCCTGTCTCAAAAAAAAAAAAAAAAATTGGATATTGCTAACTGTTTTAATAAAGTAATTGTATCAGATTGTCCCACATTCTCAACAGCAGTGTTGGTATCAGATATTTTCATTTTTGCCAGTCTGGTGAACATGACATTTTGCCTCATTGTGGTCTGATTTGTTTTTTATGGGTGGGTAGGAGGAAGAGGTCTATGGAAGAGTGCAGAATGTCTCTGAAAGATTAGATGATCTGGGCTGGGCACAGTGGCTCACGCCTATAATCCCTGCACTTTGGGAGGCCAAGGTGGGTCACTTGAGGTCAGGAATTCAAGACCAGTGTGGCCAATGTGGTGAAACCCCATTGTAAAAATACAAAAAAATTAGCCAAGCATAGTGGTGGGTGTCTGTAATCTCATCTACTCAGGAGACTGAGGCAGGAGAATCGTTTGAACTCGGGAGGTGGAGGTTACGGTGAGTAGAGATCACACCACTGCACTCCAGCCTGGGCAACAGAGTGAGACTGTCTCAAAAAGAAAGATTAGATGATCTAGTGAGGAAGATGGGCATCTTGGGATTGGAAAATGAGTTCACTCTAGGACATTTTAGATTAAACAGCCATCTGGAGATGTCTAGCAGGCGGTAGGAAATGTGAATCTGAAACTCTGAAGAGATTTGAAAGTCACTATCATCCAAGTGGTACCTAAAACCATGGGAATGGGTTCAGTCTGGTAGGACAAGTTTATTAAGTAAAAGAACAATTACATTAAGGGTCTCTGACTGAACCCTGAAAGATTCAAACAATTAAGGGATAAAGAAGCAAGATCTGGCAAAGGAGACTGAAAGTACTTGGTCATAAGATGCAGGACACCCCAGACCAGCTAAGCCTGAAAACCAAGGGAAGATGAGTTTTTCAGCCTTGTCAGTGTGACCAAACAGTATAAAAGATATTGAGAGTGGGACTTGGGATTTAGTTATTAGAAGGTCATTGGTGGCTTTAGGGAAAATATGTTTAATAATGATGTTTGCAAAAGCCAGACTAAAATGGTTGAAAATGTGATGGCCAATAAAGATTTTGAGATAATAAATGTAGGATCTTTACTTGAAATGTGGCATGTTTCAAATAAAGGATAAGAGGGGCTTTTCTTTCATTTACTTATTTTTAATCACTGTTGCCTTGTTAAGATTAAATAGGTTTTAATATGTCCTTGTTGAAACTTTAGGTTTACTTTTCCCTAAATTAAATTTCCTTTTACCTAGCTACCTTGGTTTGCCATTTCCAAAGTCACTTTGCCAGCGGTATTGATTGTTCTCTTCTATTCCTGTCTGAAACTTTATGTCTCCCAGCCCCCTGAGATGCCTTCTTTTACAACAGTACTGAATATTTTGCTTCAGCATTACAAGTGTAGTTTTTGCTGAATTAGATTTTCCAGGAAAGTCTACTATATTTGTACACTATTGTATTTGCACACTGTGTGTTATATTTGTACACTGTGCACTATATTTGTATACTGTGCAGGATATTAGGACAGAAAAATTTGAATGGGACTCCTGCTTTCCAAGGGCTATGTAATATAATATAGTGAGGGTAGAAGAGCTCAAATGTTATAATAAGGATAAAATCTGAATATATGAATAGGACTCCTGCTTTCTAAGGGCTTTGTAATATACTACAGTGAAGGCAGAAGAGCTCAAATGTTGTAATAATACAAAGTACTTGAAGAGCAAAGAAGTACTTTGGGTTTGGTTTGGGTCAAATGATAGTAAAACAGTTTTATATATCAAATTCCAGAAAGTATCAGGATGAGCCATATACATTTACTGATATTTAACCATTTTTGACCTGTAATAGCCAACTGCATATAGTTCAACTTAATCAAATTAGCTATTATGGGAAGAATGATTAATGAGGATCTTTTAGAATGTAAGAAGAAATGTTCGGAGGTAGGTTAGAAAGCAGTTCAAGTAAGGGAAGCAGAATGAGCAAAAGTTTAACGAAAAATACCAAAAGGATGTGAGGGAAAGAAATTTCTAGTCAAAGGAAAAAATAGCACTTGAATCGCTGTCATCTGCGGTGTATTCTTTGCCTTGATTATTTATTCTGGCCATAGAGTCATTATAGCAGAGGTGATATGAAATAGTTGGCACTGTAGGCCGGGGGCAGTGGCTCATGCCTGTAATCCCAGCATTTTAGGAGGCTGAGGCAGATGGATCATTTGAGGTTGGGAGTTTGAGACTAGCCTGGCCAACATGGTGAAACCTCGTCTCTACTAAAAAGACAAAAATTAGCCAGGTGGTAGTGGCAGCATGCCTGTAATCCCAGCTCCTCGGGAGGCTGAGGCAGGATAATTGCTTGAACTTGCAGGGTAGAGGTTGCAGCGACCGAGATCGCTCCACTGCACTCCGGTCTGGGTGACAGAGAGACCCTGTCTTAAAAATAATAATAATGATTGGCGCTGTAAAGATGTTTTTTGGATTCCATCTTATTTAGCAGTTTCATTAAGAAAAAACTCTTTCTTAGTCATCTGGTTTGACATTTTATGAGAAAAATTTCTTATGCCTAAGCTAAAAGCGAAATCATCCTTACATGTGGCTTTTCATATTACTTAGTCCTAATGTTATAGTTGCTTGTGAATTGCTATATTTCTTGACTTATCTTAATGTTTTATATTTTGATTTAGATTTCAACATAGAGTAAGCCATTATGAAACCTGTTAAATGCCTAGTTGGCTCACTTTGCCTCCTCTGATGCTGTATGGCAAAATAGTTATTCCTTTATTTAGTAAGATGACTTTTGTAGAAATAATAATAAAATAGTAATTTGACTTATGTGCACGTAAAATACTGTTGAATTAATGAAAATTACTGCTGGATATTTTATATGCACAAGGCTTACAAGATTAGTTCTAAAATACAATTGAATTTTGGTGATTTTTTTGAGCTAGAGAAGACCTTACGTTTCACTTAAGTCTTCATTTTATAAATAAGGAAATTTATAGTAGGCTTAAATAGTTGCTACTTTTATTAAGTTGAACTATATGCTGTTGACTATTACAGGTCAAAAATGGTTAAATATCAGCAATTGTATATGGTTCATCCTGATACTTTCTGGACTTTGGCACATAAACTAGTTTTATGTCACATAAAACTGTTTTACTGTCATTTGACCCAAACCACAAAGATGAACCGTTGGTATTTTATTTCCTTTCTGTGTATGTTTAGTATGTTGGTGAGAGTGAACGTGCTGTGCGACAAGTTTTTCAACGAGCCAAGAACTCAGCACCCTGTGTGATATTCTTTGATGAAGTGGATGCTTTATGTCCTCGAAGATCAGACCGAGAGGTAATTATCATGGACTAGTGGTTTACAGATTCTTTTAGCACAATAAACCTTTTCTATGTTCTAAGCCAGGTATTTCTTATGAAGTCATCCCTTAGGAGCATTGAGACTCTTAGTGAAGACACCTAGTAATTTGAAATCAAATCTTAGAGATAGCAGTTGTATTCTGTATCTGCCTCTGCATCCATTTTTTTTCCTGTTTATTATTTTGGTTGCACAATCTGTAGGTCATCCTAATTCACACAAATGAGTAGGTGAGTATGGAAATGATATTAGTTTTAAATAGCTTGCCTTATAATCTTGTTATCCTACAACATTCTTGAGCTAAAAGAGTTCTTGAGACAGGAAAAAAAACAATTTAAGATATCATGCACTCAAAATAGGGTCAGGTTATTAACTTTAAGACCCCAAACCTTTTCTCTTAAGTAAGACATTAAAATGAAAAAGATAAAAAAAGACCCAACACCCATTTATATCTGGAGAAGATATAAAATTGATCTGCATTGAATACCACTTGCATCAGCCACACTGAGTCACAGTCCTTAGAGATTTCAGTACAGAGTACCAGAAACAGTTGTTATTAGGAGTGCTATTATATAACAATTTGAAGCTTAGTGAAGCATAAGATAAACCATAAATATATAACCTTTTTGAAGCAGACAGCAGCTACTTTATTTATTTATTTATTTACTTATTTATTTATTTTTGAGACAGAGTTTTGCTCTTGTCTCCCAGGTGGGAGTGCAATGGTGCGATCTCGGTTCACTGCAACTTCCGCCTCCTGGGTTCAAGCGATTCTCCTCCCTCAGCCTCCTGAGTAGCTGGAATTACAGGCACCTGCCACCATGCCTGGCTCATTTTTGTATTTTTAGTAGAGACAGGGTTTCCCCATGTTGGTCAGGCTGGCTTTGAACTCCTGACCTCAGGTGATCCATCCGCCTCCGCCTCCCAAAGTACTGGGATTACAGGGTTGAGCCACCACGCCCGGCCACAGGTACATTTCTTGTAAGATGACTGAGGAAATGGTTACATTTCTTTTGTTGTTGTTGCTGTTGTTGTTGTTTTGTTGTTGAAACGGAGACTCACTCTGTCACCAAGGCTGGAGTGCAATGGTGCGATCTCGGCTCACTGCAACCTCTGGCACCCAGGTTCAAGCGATTCTCCTGCCTCAGCCTCCAGAATAGCTGGGATTACAAGCGCCCGCCACTACTTGGCTAATTTTTGTAGTTTTTAGTAGAGACGGGGTTTTACATCATTTCTGAAACCTAGGAAATCTTTTGTGATTTATTTTCAATAAATGTGTGTGTGTGTGTCTTGGGTCATAAAACATTACATGCCTCATTTTGCTAAAAATCTCCAAAAACATTCAAAAGTCACAAAAAAAAAGCTGACTGATACAAATAAATAAATAAATGTGACTCACATTTTAGCGGTTTTGTTTCTTCATCCAGTAGTCATTGATACCATCATAGAAAATTCTTATTACAGGCTTATCTTTGATAGTGATGTCAGTGACTGAGGCAGAGATCCTTCCCAGGTTCCCCAGTCATATTCCAAAGTCTACTGTGGGCTATGGAGCAAAACACAGTACTTTGATACCTCCAGCTGGTTAGGGCACGGCATGCTTTGGATTTTATTCTTTTCCTTTTTATTCCCATCTCTTCTGCCATGAATAAACCCTTCATTTGTCCACAGCCCCTTCAATTGGTTTGCAGCTCTCTACTGTCAGCTGGTAAATCTAAATTTGGAGAGGTTCATTGTCAACTGTTGCCCTCAAAGAAGTCTGTAGCCGTATGAAGTACATGTCTGACTTCTGGTTTATCTCTCTCTTTTTTTTTAAAGAATAAAGAATGGCTGCTCCATAGGCAGAGCGGCCTTATTTGTTTCTTGGATGTCTACTGCCATGCATTTCTTTCTTTTCCTTTCCTTTCCCTTTCCCTTTCCTTTCCTTTTTTTTTTTTCTTGAGAAAGAGTCTTGCTCTATCACCCAGGCTGGAGGCTAGAGTGCAATGGCACTATCTCAGCTCACTGCAACCTCTGCCTCCCAGGTTCAAGCGATTTTCCTGACTCAACCTCCCGAGTAACTGGGATTACAGGCGCCTGCTACCATGCCCGACTAATATTTGTGTTTTCAGTAGAGGTGGGGTTTCACCATGATGGCTGGGCTGGTCTCGAACACCTGGTCTCAAGTGATCCACCAGCCTCGGCCTCCCAACGTATTGGGATTAGAGGCATGAGCCACCACACCCAGCCTACTGCCATACATTTCTATACTCTGATATATATGGGTTTCTTTTCTTGTGGTTTTTTTGTTTGTTTGTTTGTTTTTGAGACAGAGTCTTGCTCTGTCACCCAAGCTGGAGTGCAGAGGCATAATCTCAGCTCACTGCAGCCTCCGCCTCCCAGGGTCAAGTGATTCTCCTGTCTCTGTCTCCCAGGTAACTGGCACTACAGATGTGTGCTACCACACTTGGCTAATTTTGCATTTTTAGTAGAAACGGGTTTTACCATGTTGGCCAGGCTGGTCTCGAACTCCTGACCTCAGGTGATCCACTCGCCTCGGCCTCCCAAAGTGCTGGAATTACAGGTGTGAGCCACTATGCCCAGCTATAGTTTGCTTTTCTACATTTTCACCTAAAGCAGATTCTGAAAACGTTTTATTTTTATTTTTTGTTTGTTTCCTTTTATTTGATCTTCTTTTTTTTTTTTAAACAGAGTCTCACTCTTACCCAGGCTGGAGTGCAGTGGCACGATCTCAGCTCTCCGCAGCCTTTGCCTCCTGGGTTCAAGTGATTCTCATGCCTAAGCCTGCTGAGTAGCTGGGACTATAGGTACATGCCACCATGCCCTGCTGATTTTTCATATATTTTTTTTTTTCTTTAGTAGAGACAGGGTTTCACCATGTTGGCCAGGCTAGTCTCGAACTTCCAGTCTCAGGTGATCCACCTGCCTCAGCCTTCCAAAGTGCTAGGATTACAGACATGAGCCACCATGTCCAGCCTCTAAAAATCTTTTAAATTTGAATGTATTCTTTTTGAATTACACTAGTTATACATGAATACATGCTTGTGAAAAATTCAAATAAAGCACAAGTATAAAGAGTAAATTTCTTTCCATTCTCCTCCGTATTACTCTTCTTAGAGGTTATTATGACACTACTAATAGTTTATCATTTAGTATGCATCATTCTAGAACTTTTTCCAGAAGCAAAAAAATGTATATTTTACACTTCTGTTTTGTTATTGTTGTTATTGCGACAGGGTCTTACCCTGTCACCCAGGCTGGAGTACAGTGGTGTGATTGTAGCTCACTGCCTGCCACCTTGAGCTCCTGGGCTCAAGCAGTGATCCCACCTTAGCTGCCTGAGTAGCTAGTAGTACAGTTGTGCACTGCCACACCCAGCTAAGTTTTTGTTTTTAGAGGTGGGATCTTGCTATGTTGCCCAGGCTGGTCTTGAACTTCTGGCCTCAAGTGATCCTCCTGCCTCTGCCTCCCAAAGTGCTGAGATTACATCATGCCTGGACCTAGGCTTCTATTTTTTATATTAATGTGGTCATTCTGTCTTGATGACTTTCTCATGTACGTAATGACTTAAAAATATATATAGTATTATCCTCAGTCTGGATACAGCAGAATTTACTTAATAATTCTCCTGTTTTGGGCATTTAGATTATTTCCAGTTGTAAACAGAACTCTACTTGTATCACGCATTTTTGTGCACCTGTGGTGGGACTATGTGAGATAGAATTTTGGAAGTGAAAATCAGGGTGGAAGATTGCTATATATTAGATTTTAAAAGATAATGCTGTATCATCCTTCACAAAAACTATCAGTTACATGTGCCCACCAGCAGTGTGTGAAAATATCCATTTCTTATCAACAATGGATTATACCCATCTTTTTATTTTTTGGCAGTTTTACTGGCAAATCATATTACATTTTAGTATACATGTCCCTGATTACCATGAGGTAGACTGTCTCCAGTGATTTGAAATTATTTGATCATATGTTTCAGCCCTTTTGCTATTGCTGTCTTTTTCTTTTTTTGTGTTAATTGGTACTCTATGATGGAAAGTAGTCTTTTATTTAATTATGTGTTGATACTATTTTTCCCAGTCTTACGACTTATATTTAATTTTATTATATAGAATATTATAGGTTTGATTTGTTTGTTTGTTTTCTGTTTTGAGAGAGTCTCACTCTGTCACCCAGGCTGGAGTGCAGTGGCGTGATCTCAGCTCACTGCAGCCTCCGCCTCCCAGGTTCAAGCAATTCTTCTGCCTCAGCCTCCCATGCAGCTGAGATTACAGGTTCCTGCCACCATACCCAGCTAATTTTTTGTATTTTTAGTAGAAATGGGGTTTCACCATGTTGGCCAGACTGGTCTTGCACTTCTGACCTCAGGTGATCCACACGTCTCGCCTCCCAAAGTGCTGGGATTACAGGTGTGAGTCACCATGCCCGGCCAGAATATTATGGCTTTAATACAGAAAAATCTATCAGTCATTCTTGTATTGACTCTCGTCTTGCTTATGTAGAACAATATTTTTTACCCTTTACTTCCTTATATTTTTGAGTATGGATTATGATTCTGTTAGTGTTATGTTCCCCAGGAGTGACAATAAGGAACACCACATTTTTTTTTCTAGAGAAATCAGTGGGGTAAGCTGGGTGTGGTAGCTTATACCTGTAATCCCAGCAGTTTGGGTGGCCAAGGCAGGCAGATTGCTTGAGTCCAGGAGTTCAAGACCAGCATGGGCAACATGGTGAAATCCTGACTCTACACAAAAAAGAAAAGTTAGCCAGGTGTGATGGTGCATACCTGTAGTCCCAGCCACTCGGGAGGCTGAGGTAGGAGGATTGCTTGAGCCCGGAAGGTAGAGGTTGCAGTGAGCTGAGATCTCACCACTGCACTTCCAGCCTGGGCGACAGAGCAAGACCCCTGTCTCAAAAAAAAAAAAAAAAAAAAGGAAAGAAATGAGGTAAGCCCATTACCACCTCTGTATGTAAAATTTATGGTGAAGAAAAACAATTAATGACCAAAAACACAGCACCACTTTTCTCATTTCCTTCATTTAAAACTTTTTTGTTGTTTCTGTATCTAAGTGATTTATCCCTCTCCCTGAATTTATACCAACTCCCTGGATGTTTCCTTTCACCTAGATATTGCTGAGGTAACTTTACTTTGTATTATTTGCTTCAAGGAAAAGAGAAAATACCTCATCAGTGTCCCAGATACTCCCGTATGTGTTGCACTAAAAAGATCTGGAACACCTGGCTTGTCTGATGGTGGTGGGTTATCAGAATTTATTAACATTAGTGTCATCCGGGTGCAGTGGCACAAGCCTGTAATCCCAGCACTTTGGGAGGCCGAGGTGGAAGGATCGGTTGAGCTCAGGAGTTCGAGACTAGCCTGGGCAATATAGCAAGAGGATCTCTAGAAAAAAATACGAAAATTAGCTAGGCGTGGTGGCACACACCAGTAGTACCAGCTACTTGGGAGGCTGAGGTGGCAGGATTGCTTGAGCCCAGGAGGGGAAGGCTGCAGTGAGCTGAGATCACACCACTACACTCTAGCCTGGGCTACAGAGTAAAACCCTGCCTCAAAAAAAAAATTAGTCTCACCAAAGGTGGTATACAACCTCCCACTGTTAAATTTGACTGACTTTAAAAATAAAATGAAATGAGATCTGGAATGCCTGATATACTGGGAAATTTGGGGTTCAAAAGCTTAGTCTAGGGCTGGGCGTGGTGGCTCACTCCTGTAATCCCAGCGCTTTGGGAGGCTGAGGTGGGCTGATCACCTGAGGTCAGGAGTTTCAAGACCAGCCTGACCAACATGGTGAAACCCCATCTCTACTGAAATTACAAAATTATCCTGGCATTGTGGCACATGCCTGTAATCCCAGCTACTTGGGAGGCTGAGGCAGGAGAATTGCTTGAACCAGGAGACGGAGGTTGCAGTGAGCCGAGATCACACCATTGCACTCCAGTCTGGGCAACAAGAGCGAAACTTCATCTCAAAAAAAAAAAAGCTTAGTCTGGGTGGGGTGCAGCTCTCACACCTATAATCCCGGCACTTTGGGCAGCTAAGGCAAGAGGATTGCTTGAGGCCAGGAGTTCGAGACTAGCCTGGACAGCATAGCAAGACCCATCTCTACCAAAGAAACAAAAGCTAGCTGTAGATTCGCCCCAAGGGAAGTGTATTGTGACGGTTAGATGTTTGAGTAACTCAGAAACATTAGACCTTGGGATCCATTCAGCCTGAGATTGAGTCTCATCTCTTCCTTTACCTAGTGATGAGAACTTGGACAAGTAACTCCTCTGAGCCTCACTTTCCTCATTTAGACTGTGGATAATAATAGGATTGCTGGGGAGGTCCACTGATGAGAACACATTTTGCACAGTGTGTGCATATAGTGGCTCCTTGGAAAATGATCACCGTGATCTCTTTTGCATGGGGAAATGTATTATTTTCATGGGGAAGAATTTTTTTTTTTTTCCCTTTATATTGAGAGCTGATGGAACCAGATTTATGTCTTTTTAGACAGGGGCAAGTGTCCGAGTGGTGAATCAGCTACTTACAGAGATGGATGGTCTGGAAGCACGCCAGCAGGTTTTTATTATGGCAGCCACTAACAGGCCAGGTAAGAAATAAAAATATTGTAACGCAGATGAATCTAAAAACTTACAGCATTTCCATAGAAGAGATTCAGATAAAAATAAAAGTAAAAACTTGTAGCATTTATAAACAATATAATTCACACGCATCCTAGGAAAGGAAGATTAAATTTGGACAATCCCTTTCTGGTTCTGTGAAAGGAAACTTCGTAGTTGAAATAAAGGCTTAGAAAGCTTTTGCATAAGCTATAGTAAAAAGCATAGTATTACTGCTTGGATCCCATGAGATTGCTTTTCTGTGTTCGTGCTTAGAAAGCTCTTTTTGGCTGAGAACAGTTGCAGCATACACTCTTTTCTTTTTTTTTTTGGAGACGGAATCTCACTTTGTCACCCAGGCTGGCATGCGGTGGCATGACCTTGGCTCACTGCAACCTCTGCCTCCTGGGTTCAAGTGATTCTCCTGCCTCAGCCTCCTGAGTAGCTGGGATTACCGGTGCTGCCACCATGCCCAGCTATTTTTTGTATTTTTAGTAGAGATGGGGTTTCGCCATGTTGGCCAGGCTGGTCTTGAACTCCTGAACCTCAGGTGATCCGCCCAACTCGGCCTCCCAAAGTGCTGGGATTACAGACGTGAGCCATTGCACCCGACCGGCATACACTTTTGACCACAAAAGTATTTTAAGAATTTGTGTTTTATGGTTTCTCGCTAGCTTATAGGAAATAAAAACCATACTCTTCACTCTACTAGAAGTTAAAGATAGATTTTTAAGGTTTTATGCTGGAGCCATGCCCTCATATCTGCCCTTAATGATTACTGAAAATTGTTTTCAAGGTTAAGCATTCTTTGAGAGATTCAGAAAAGGGCTCAAGACTATAGAAGTGCAGAAGGTGGCTCAGAGTTACAACTCTAATCACATGCTTGATCTTTCTGGTGATCAGTCCCCTGCCTGAAGCTATCTGTGGGGCCACTATGTGTCACCATATTAGCTCAACAAAGATATTCCTGGCATTCAGGAAATTGCAAGGATTTTTGAAGGTCTATGCCAGGAACGGTGGGCAAAGACCAATTATATTCTGTATTATACCATAGTAACCTTGGGACTATATTACTTCATCTTGCTGACCATCATTTTGGCACTTTTAAAATGAGGATGATAATACTTAATTGGCAGGATTGCCACAAAGGTTAAATGATGTTGGTAATGTATCTACCACAGTGGTAGTAAACAGCAGGTAGCTATTTAGTAATTATTATCATGTTCATAAGCAGTTTCGTAATAGTAGTGGGAACAGTCATTAGGTCATAAAATCACAGAGTCATCCTAGAAGAAAGTCCCTCAGAGTTGAACAGAATCACATTTTCCCTTTCATAAGAAGATACAGATCTTTTCTCACATATTTCAAAAAGATGCTTGTCTTAGTCTGTTTTGTGTTGCTATAATAGAATACCTGAAACTGGGTAATTAGTGTTAAAAAGAAGAGATTCAGTTCTTCTAGTTCAGGAAGCTGGGAAGGTCAAGATTGAGTGGCCTGCATCTGTCAAGGGCCCTCTTGCTGCATCATCCCAAGGTGAAAGGGTGGAAGAGCACAAGAGCATGCATGAGAGAGCAAAAGGAAAGTGGCCTGGACAGGAAGAAACCATGGTCCCATGAATAAGGGTGGACAAATAAAGTTTAATTAATTTTACCCTATCTTTGGACATTTATCTCAACTGCCTGAGCTGAACAACTGACTGTTTTCCTCAGCCTACCAAAAAGCATTTTGTATAGCAAAAGATTGGTTTCATTAGAGGAAACCTGGAAAAGAGAGAAGCAGAGAGGGGGGGATCCTGGGGAGTAGGAAATGAGGGCCATGTTTCTCTCAAAAAAGCCTCTTTGAAGAAACACATTGATCTAGTTTTTTCTGGTGTGTGATCATCCTTTTTAAAGTGAGGAGCATAAATTAGTAAGGATGGGCTTAATATCTGTTGGTGGTGAGACAAGAAAATGCTAAAATTATTATCTGTTATTTTATTTAATTGTACTATCTGGTTTTGATGTATGGCTTGTCATGTATGCAATGTATTAATAATATAATACAGAAACATAGTTAATAAATGATTAGACATTAAAAAAAGGAAGAAAGTGGCCAAGCTGGGCATGGTGGCTTATGCCTGTAATCCTAGCACTTTACAAGGTCGAGACAGGAGAATCGCTTGAGCTTGGGAGTTTAAGACCAGCCTGGGCAACATAGTGAGACCTTGTCTCTATTATTTAAAAAATAGAGAGAGTGGCTAAACATATCCTTTGATCAAGAGTCCACTCCTGCAATAACTTACCCACTCCCTTGGAACCAGCATTATTCATGAGGCAGAGCCCTCATGACCTCATCACTTTTTAAAGGCCCCACCTCTCAACACTGTTTTATTGGGGATTAAGTTTCCAGCACGTGAACTTTGGGGAATACGTTCAAACCACAGCATCAGTCTTTCGTTTCCTGTATAACATATTCTATCGTTAACAGCCCTCACCATATTTTAAGTTTGTTTATTTTATTATTTATTTATTTATTTTGAGACAGAGTCTTGGTCTGCTGCCCAGACTGGAGTGCAGTGGCGTGATCTCAGCTCACTGCAACCTCCGCCTCCCCGGTTCAAAGGTTTCTTCTGCCTCAGCCTCCCAAGTAGCTGGGACTACAGGCACGTGCCTCCACGCCCAGCTAATTTTTGTATTTTTAGTAGAGACAGGGTTTCACCGTGCTGACCAGGCTGGTCTCAAACTTCTGACCTCAGGTGATCTGCCTGCCTCGGCCTCCCAAAGTGCTGGGATTACAGGCATGAGCCACTGCGCCTGGCCTGTTTATTTTAAAACCTGTGTTAAGAATGGCAGATGAATCATAATGTGGTACCGGTGTTTTGTTTTTTTCCCTATGTATGTATATTGTCTTCCCCTAAAACTCTTCCATCCTTTTTTCCCCTTTAACAAATCTGTTGCATTAATGACCTACATTTAAAAATAAATGATCTGGCTGGACACGGTGGCTCATGCCTGTAATCCCAACACTTTGGGAGGCCGAGGCCGGCGGATCATAAGGTCAGGAGATTGAGACCATCAGCTAACACAGTGAAACCCCATCTCTACTAAAAATACAAAAAAATTAGCTGGGCATGGTGGCATGCGCCTGTAGTCCCAGCTACTTGGGAGGCTGAGGCTGAGGCAGGAGAATTGCTTGAACCCAGGAGGTGAAGGTTGCCATGAGCCAAGATTGCACCACTGCACTCCAGCCTGGGCGGCAAAGCGAAACTGTCTCAAAAAATATTAATAGTAATAATAAATGTTCTAGATCTTCTTCACTTGTTTTCATGCTTATTTGGCAGTTCTGCTCCATTGTATACTATCATGTGACATTGTTTTGATTGCTTATAACTTCTTGTCTGCTTAGCTTTAAGAATTTCCTCCGGCCAGGCGTGGTGGCTCAAGCCTGTAATCCCAGCACTTTGGGAGGCCGAGATGGGCGGATCACGAGGTCAGGAGATCGAGACCATCCTGGCT